TCCCATCAAGTATTGAATCATTTTTCCTTGTTTTACAATATTTATTCCTAGAGGTCTGATCTCATAGATCTGGAGGCCATGTTTCCTTCTACTGTCAATATTTTCCCACTTGATTTACCTGCTTATGCTCAAGTACTTCGAATTTTATTACATTCACCTTTTTTTTATTTTTTCCCTATTACTCACTTTCTGACTCCCTCTCCTCTGACAGTGGTTTCCCTGGGGCTAGATCTCAAAGAGTTTCAGCCTGATCCCACAGTTGATAATTTAGTTTACCTGCCTAGGTATTAGTCCCAAGTGACTTTTACAGGGACAAAATTGGCCCCAGCTGGATCCTATCCTTTTTCCCTCAGACTTGGTAAAGTGAATCATAGTCCCATACATATAATGTCCTGCCCTATTCCCAATTGTTCCTCAATTGTCTGGCCTGATAGTTAAAGCACTGCTACACTGGTGCTGTTGCAGCTGGGCTTGATTTCTACTATTTGGAATTTGAATCTCTAAGATTCAAGGAGGAGGGGATGAAGGTGTGAGGTTGTGTTTTGTTGCAAGCCAATGGGCTGGGTAATCCAGTGCAGTCTCACTGCCAAAATCACAATGGAGGAGAGGATCTCCTATAGAGATCTACAGCACTGGCTATCAAGGAGTTTGCTGAGGCTTCACAATGTGTGAGGCTGTATTTTGTTGCAAGCCTATGGATCAAGTCAGCTAGTGTAGCCTCAGTGCCAGTAGCAAAGTGGAGGAGAAGATGCTGAGTGAGCACAAGGTAAACATTAGTTCATAAAATTTTTAAATCTTTTGTGTTCTTGGGGTTCTAAATTATAGCTGAAGTTGCTATATCTTTGGCACATACTTTATGTTTTGGAGGATTTGGGAGGTCATAAATCATCAGAGAAAATGTCTAATTCTCTCTCAAGGATCAAAGAAAACGTCTAATTCTCCATCTTTTTTGTTTATACAACCCAGAAAGACTCTTCCTCCTTTTTTACCTTTCTGCAGTACTTAATACTGTTCATTACCTTCACCTTTTGGTTACTTGCCTCTCTCGATTTTCACAACACTTCTTTCTCTTGGCTCTCCTCTTAGCTCTCTGACTACTCTTCCTCAGCATCTTTGTCTGGTTTGTTATTCATTTCAGGATCACTGGGGGTATGTCCCAAAGCTCTGTCTTGGGCCTTTATCTTTTCTCCATCTATATTCTGTTGCTTGGTGATTTCAATGGATTTCTGTGGATTCAATTATTATCTATGGCAATGTTTCCTAGACCTAAAGGCCTAGACCTAGACTCTCTGTGAGTTACAGTCCTGTACCAGCTACTGCTTACTGACCATATTGAGACAGATGTCCCATGTATGAAAGAGATGCCAAACTCATCTGATTTTTCTCTCTAAAATCTCCCCCAATCCCAAATTCCCCATTATTATTAATGGTACCAGGACCCTCTCAGCCACTCAAGATCAGAAGCTTTGTGTCCAATCTGTTGTCAAATTTCTATTTTTACCTTCACAACATCTCTTATGTATATATTCCCTTCTCACACACTCACACAGCCACCACCCTAGTTCAAGTTCTCATCCCCTCTTGCCTCAACTATTGCAAAAGCCTTCTACCTTCTAAATGGCCTCCCTTTCTCAAGTCTCTACCTACTCAACTCCACACTACATTCACCTGTCAATGTGATTTTTCTAAAGTATAGGCCTGACTCTGTCATATACTCCTAATCAATAAAATCTACTGATTCTTCCTCTTCAAATTTCTGATTTCCTCCAAAATCATATATAGTTTTTTTGAAACTCTTTACAACCTGGTCTTTTCCCAAATTTCCAGCTCTTTTTTTTTTAAATTGCTCACTGATCATTATTTTGATTTCATAAGGACCCTTTCCCTACTCATCCCCAAGAATATTCTTGACCTTTTGCTTCTCATTTTCAGTGGCCTGTGGTTCCATTTCTCCCTCCATCACTCTTAGTGGACTGAGGGTTAGACTATCTCTCTACCGTTTGTGGGTATCTCCTGTATTCCTGTGCAAAATCTATAAGTGTCCAGATCATGTTCTACATCTTTGGTCTGTCAGTCTGGTTTCCAGAGAAGGTCAGATCTTGCCCATGTCAGGGTGGGTGTGTATGTGTCCCTGAAAGGTTCTCATTCCTGGGGCACAGGGGTAGTTCCTTGACATTCACAGTTATATTATCTTCCCCATCATAGGCATTGTGATTTTGGTATACCAGGGAACACTCTCATTCTCAGCAAGTCAAGGGTCTCTGGAATTAAACTTTCTGGATATTACCAAAGAAATAGTTCTAAACTGGGTCTCAAGGCCAGCAGGAAACAAGGGCAAAAGACACCAGAGTCCTCAGTTAGGTTGACAGAGTCTTCCAAAGACTGGAGTCACCATAGAGAAGCTAGAGTAGGAGTGGTCACTGGGCAAACTGAGGAGGGAAAAATGGGAAAAGATGTTCTCTTCAAACAGGAACTGCTTCCAAAGATGGTCGTGATCCTCCACTAGGTATTTAATGGTGCTCTGGAGCTGAATTCTTTGGGGAGGGGAGCTTGTCAGGCTGGTTGCTTGTGGGGTCTCATGGAAGTGGGCTATGTTCACACAGATTTATCTCACTGTCCATTCTTGTGGGGGGAAGTATGAGAGCAGAACTAAACTACTCTTTCTAATTTGTTCATACTCGACTCTTCTCCATGTACTCTAGATCTAGCTACGCTGGCCTTCTTGCTGTTCCTTGTACACAACACTCCCTCCCTGGTATCTGCAACTTTGCACTGGTTGCCCTTCATGCTTGGATGCTGTCCTTTCACATACCTTCACTAACCTTGCTTCCTGTAAGAAACAGCTCAAGTCCCATCTTTTGTAGGGAAAGCTTTTCCAGTCCCTTTCTCTCCCAAATGCCAGTGGCCTTTCCTTCACAGATTACCTTCAATCTATTATGCATATATTTATGTACATAACTATTTACATGACCCCATTAGAGCTCCCATTCTAATCAGGAATCCCTGAGGGAGGATTATTTTTTATCTTCTTTGAAACTCTAGGACTTAGTATAATGTCTGGCACATAGTAAGCACTTAATGAATACTTATTGACTGACTAATGGAGAATACCAATAAAGATAGAGTTAATTTGTTCAAATGGTCTGTCATACTAATTAATTAATAATAGGGGCAGCTATGTGGCACAGTGGATAAAGGGCCAGGCCTGGAGTCCAGAAGACCAGAGTTCAAAACCAGATTCATGCACTTACTAGCTGTGTGACTCTGGGCAAGTCACTTAACCCAGTTTGCCTCATTTTTCTCACCTATAAAATGATCTGGAGAGGGAAATGGCAAATCACTCTAGTACCCTTGCCAAGAAAACTCCAAATGGAGTCACAAAGAGTTGGATATGACTGAAAAAAATGAGCAACAACCAATAGTCTGTCAACTCAGTGGAAGTTGAATGATGCCAGCAATAGCTGAAATTTACAAACACTTTAAGGTTTGCATTGCACATAACATAATGTACCTCCCACGAGCTTCACAACAATCCAGATGGGCTAGTGCTAAACATATTACTATTTTCATTTTATATAGAAGGAAACACTAAGGCTTAGAATGGCTAAGCAACTTGACAATGGCCATGTAATTAGCTAGAATAGGGACAGTGTAGTACAGTGGAAGGAATACTAGATTTGGAATCATAAACTCTATGTGACCTTGGTCACAATCTCTCTCTGAGCCCACATTTCTTATTTCATAATTTAAAGGGACTGGACTGACCTCCAAGATGTCTTCATACTCTAAACCTATGATCTTATGAACCTAAGACCTGGATTTGAATTGAGTTCTTCCAGGACTCTCTCCAGTTCAGATAAAGAAAACACAGTAAGAAATCCAAAAGCAAGTAAGTATTGTAAATACCCTAAATGTTCAAGAATTGGGGTATCCTCTTCTCCTTTTATATCAATTTACCACAATCAGTGTAAAGGCAGAAGGGAGCAAAACTGAACGAAGTCCTATTTTGTATTCTTGTGAGTTTCAGGAGCAATACAGGCCAAAAAAATTATTACCTGGTGGCCAATTTTCTGTGGATAAACCTTTCTGTACTGATTATGGCTGAGCTTTAGAAAGCAGAATTAATTTCATTAGCCCCATACTTGAAGCCCTTCCATCTTAGACTGTGGTGCCTGTGCTCCATTGATAAAACTTCTCAGGAACCCAAGATTACACCAATACTATGATGAGGCACAGAGCAGGATTTTTGTGCAGCTAATTAAATTACCACCTCCTCCTCTCATCCCCACCCCAACAACAATAACAAAAAAATTCTACAGAAGTAAGCTTTTTTAAAAAAATCCCTCTAATCACGATTAGAGCATTCTGTTAATATGGGTACAAAAATTTCCCTACCATAATACTCTGTAACAAAATATTTTTTAATGGACCCTATGCATTCTTCAAAATAAAGCCTGGACTATAGTAGGAAGAAACAAAGAGAGTCACAGATTACTCAAAATGAAGTTGTTTTTGTAAGATAATATATGAAAAGTGCTTTGCAAATATTAAAGCACTATATAAACATCCGCTACTGTTACCTGCCAACAAACAGCTTTACAGCTGTAACTTTTAATCTCTTTTTAATTCCTTCTACATGAAGTATCTGAGGAACCATCCCAGAAAAAATTTCCTAAACTCCCAAAGTCCTCAATAAACAACAAAAACATATTAACATCCAAAAGGATTAAGGGGAAAAAAAAGCATAGTGCCTTCATAATATTACCCTCTATGCTCCCTTCTGGGTTTGAAACACTTCCTTTTATTTGCTAATTAACTAAAATGATACTCAGGTTATTTCTGTCATATCACTAACTATTATAACAAGAAAAAGTGACTCCTACCAATGTATACATTGTGATTATATAACATAACTTTTAAAAAAAAGATTCAGTCTAATAAGGCATTTAATTACTTTTCCTTCTAACTCCTCACTCAATTTTAATAATAATTTTTCATACCTCATGTTTTTCAGTCACCTCAGCTTCTGCCATGAGATCTGCCAAAGCATAAAGAAATCCAAGATCTAATCTGAGGTCCATTTCTTGTATCAACACTTTAAAATACCTATATGAGAAAGCAGAAAGTTTTTAATGAAACCAATTTAGTGCACTAAGAACAGCACTTTTTAACCAAAGGAGGCCTCAACAAATTAATCACAAATTTAATAAATACAAATTCAATGTTATGACTGCAACTACATTAACAGTCAACGTAGGTACGGTAAGCATAGAGATAACAATAACAAAGAAATTAAAAGTATGATAATAATTACTGTAATTAGCATTTATATAGCATTTAAAAATTTTTCAAAGTGCTTTCCTCACATCAACACTATTAAATAAAGAAACTATTCTTATGGTTATTTCGCAGATGAGAAAATTGAAGCTCTGAAAGATTAAATTTTTTTGCCTACAGTCACATCATAATTAGAACTTATATAGTGCTTTTAGGTTAGCAAAGCACTTTACAAACATCACATTTTATCCTCACAACATCCTTAGGAGTTACATGATATTACCCTCATTTTACATGTGAGGAAACTGAGGCAGAAAAACCTTAATGATTTACTTAGAGTCACACTGCTAGTAAGCGTATGAGGCCACATTTGAATTCAAGTCTTCCTGACTCCAGGCCCAGTGCTATGTCTGCTGTACCAACAACTGCCTCTTCTTGCTAAGAAGTAGTGGTACCCAAAGCTGGAATCTGCTTTTTGATGCTGAGATCAGTGCTCATTCTTTGATGCTAGGTTGTTTCCTTTATGCTCTGCTTTTATTATAATTTTCCATATAGTGAATTTACAAAAATACTTGGTAAAAATTAGTTAGGCTTTGAGGCAGCGCCTGAAGATGGCTGACAGTCACTGAACAGACTGAGAACTGGCTGTACTTGTTCCCTTTCCAGGCAAAGTGAGGCTTTTCCAATTCTGTTCTATCACTCCTTGATGGTAAAAGATCACTCTAGAACAGCAGTTCTCAAAGTGTGGTGGGAAGACTCCGACAGCCTTTTGGGGGATCCATAAGGGCAATGTTCATAATAATATTAAGATGTTATTTGCTTTTTCTACTCTCATTCTCTCATCACTGTATGGTGAAGTTTTCCCCAGGGTATATGATCTGTGAATTATGCAAACATGAAGACTGAGTTAATCTATCACCTGGAGAATTATTCTTTGCCTTACCATTGGACTTGATGTTTTGCTTGGATTTGTCCAATATCAGCACCAAATAATTATTAAAGAAGATCTTCTTTAATATGTAATGGGTTTATTATTATTTTTAAGTGAATAAATACTTTCAAAATATCTAAGTTCTAATTTGTAGTACAGTGAATACCAATAGATATAATTCACATAAAAAAGTGCTTTGAGAACCTCAATGAATTTTAAAAGTATAAAGGGGTCTCAAGACCAAAAAATTTCAGAAACCCTGCTCTAGATTATCATTAAGTTATTTTCTTCCTCTCATGAAAACATGGTATAGTAGACAGATTGCTAAAGTTGGGAGTGACAAAGACCTGGGCTGGAAACCCTCCTTGGATGCTTACTAGTTATGTGATTGGAAAAGTCACATAAAGTCTCTATGCTTCAGTTTTCTCATCCATAAAATGAGGATAACAAGAGCTGCTACTTCACAGGGCTGTGAGGATCAATTAAGAAAATGTCTATAAAGTGCTTTGATAATCTTCAAGGACTATATAAAGTTCACCCAGCTGTCAGCAATCATTCTTGGCTGGCTATATGGGAACTGAAGGGGTTCAGGAGAAGTCTTGAAAGATAAGGGGCAAAGTTGGCAAACAGGTTTCTGCTGCCCATTTATTTACCAGGTAAGCAAGGAAGGAAAAGAGGCCATTTACAAACCAATTATCTACCCTGATCAGGAGCAGGTGTTGTAAAAATTTTGACTAAAGGCAAAAATGCGGTAGAAATTATACAGCCCAGAGGCGGTTGATGTTGTCATCTTGCTGATCATGTAAGTATTGTGTGACAATATAAGCACAGGGTCTTCAAATCAAGTTGGGAACAAAAAAAAAGGTGAAATATTAGGCCAACTAGTTGAATATTTACTGAACAGCAGTCTGGGCACTAGGAATATGAGACAAATGATGAAGGAACAGCAGTTGCCTAGTAAGGAATCAATCAAGAAAGCAAAGAACAAGCATTTGATAAGCTGGGTATTAAAGCAAAAATAAAATATTCTCTCCCTTGAACTCACATCCCATTAGGGGAAACAACACATTAACAAAAAAAAATGCAAATTAAATACAAAGCAAATTTTTGAGAGAGTAGGAGGAAAGAGAACTAGTAGCTGGGGGAATAAGGAAAGGCTTCATATAACAGGCTATGCTTGAACAGAATTTTAGATGGCATTCTAGGCACTGAAGAAAGCCAGTAAAAGGCGTGGAGACAGGAGATTAGAGCGTTATTGTGTGAGGATTAGCAAGAAAGTCAATAAGGACTGAACACAAAGTGTGGAAAGAGGAGCAATGTGTAATGGATAATAAAGTTAGAAAGTTAGATGAGGCCATCTTATTAAGGTCTTTAAAAGCTAAATAGAGATACTTATATTTGATCAGAGGAAGAAGGTAATCCCTGGACTTTACTAAGAAATGAAATAACATGGTGAGACTCATACTTAAAGAACATCACTTTGACAACTATGTAGAAGACGAACTGAAGGAGAGGCCACTGCAATAATCCAGGAGAGAGGAGATGAAGACATGAAATAGGATGGTATCCACATGAGTAAAAATAAGGGAAAGAATTTGAGAGATGCCGTGGAGGTAGAAACAACAAGAACTGACAACTGACTAGGTACATGAAATGAAAGAGAATGAGGAGTCACAAACAATGGTGAGGTTGCATATCCAGGTGACTGGACAGGACAGCAGTGCCCTAGACAGAAACAGGAAAGTTCAAGAAGAGGGACAGATATTAATTTGGAGAGAAAGATGATGAGCTCAGTTTTAGACATCAAGAAGTCAGCTGCTGAGTGTCAAAGGAAGTTTTCTTGGTCTTAGATTTATGCCAGAAGTAAAGTACACCAAGTATCTTTTGGTGGATTGTATCCCTGCGTTCTCTCATCTCAAGCAAACTTTAAAATAGCAAGAAAGTCACAGAAGGCACATTTGGAGGACGATAAAGGCAGCGATAAAAAAAAGCTGCAGGAAAAAGGTGTTTCACAAATAGGGTAGGTTACACTGCTAGTAGAATGGAAAAATCATGAAACTATTTTGGAAACAGTGATCCCACGATGTGGCAAATAGCCCGGGAAGAAGAATATACAAAGTCCCATATATGGTAAAATATTCACAATACACTTTTTTGTAGTGGCAAGAAACTAGAAACAAATTAGGTGCCCACTGATAGGTAGTATGATTTTAATGGAACATTGCACACCATAACGAATGACATGAAGAATTCAAAGAAATGTAGAAAGTACTGGTACAAACTGATGCACACTAAAGAAAACAGAAACACACAAAGATACAAAGAATATAATAATGTAATAAAGGAAAATGAGACATTCAGATAAAAAGTGATCAAACTTTGCTTCTGATAGATGATTTACTTCTTGAGAGAAAGGTGCTGGACTACAGCTGCAAAAAGCATTTTCTATCATTGGAGGTGGCTTTATCAGATGACTTTACTTAACTGTTTTTGTTATTATAAGGGAAAGTGTTGTACAGTATTAAGAAGTGAAGGCACTATACTCCCAATGCATAAATAAAACATTTTTAGAAAATAAAAGTCTAAAAAAGTTCTAGTTCCTACTATGCTCTGAAGGCATTAGTAATGATTAATCTCTAAGCCAACTAAAATTTATAATGACACCAAGGTACACAATTCTGTACTCTGTAGGATACTTACTTAATACGTGATATTTGTGAATGTCCTGCAGATCTCATCACAATACTTACATCTGTAAATGGCTTTGGTGCTGCAAAGGTTTAAAGAGATTAACATGATTAACTTTACAATGCTTTATAAGAAACTGTTAGTACTACATATAAGCTATATATAAATACTCTATGTTTACTATAATTCTAGAAGCTACTGTGAGTAATAATCACATACCACAGAAATTTTTAAGCCAATGATAAACTACTAAGTGTTACTATATCCTTATTGAATAACTTATGTGTCCAACTCTGAACCTAAAACTAACAAGGTATAAACTTATGTTAGGGCTAATTAATCTTCCTTTTGTTAATTATTCAAAGACCTATAGGTGCCTCATTGTGGCCAACTTTGAACCTAAAACTAACAAGGTATAAATCAGAATCAAACCTACTCCATAATAAGGATATTCAACCAGATGTCTTCTGACGTCCCTTCTGATTCTAGATCTGTGATCCTATAATCTGTTCCTGAATTTGTCCTGCCCATAGTGGTATTTATTTTTAATAGTTTTTCTATGTGTGTACTGTAATAGGGCCTGAGCACACACTTGCAAAAGTTTTGGGTTTTTTTTTTTAAAGAGGTGATTTCTGGCCTAATACTAAGAATTGATAATCAAAAGGAATATAGTACCAATAATGTAGTGTTAAAATTTTAGTTAAAAAATTAGAATATTTCTTGAAACTTGTTGCTCTTAGATTTGGACTAATTTATTTCATGCCTTGTATCATTTCTTCAGAGTCATTTTATTTGTATCCTTAAGGTTTATTGGCTACTGTACAAAAGTTTAGTAACAATTAAAAATTAGGTTTCATGGTCTACTTTATGTAAAACAAAAGGAAGTTTAATCAGCCCTAACATAACAAGAAGTTATTCAACAAGGATACAATAACACTTAGTTTGTATAGATGCAGCCTCCAACACATCTGGTCAGTAGGGCAAGAAAGAATGACTTCTTTTGTCTTGGGAAATTCACTGAAATTTATGGGTCCCAATTCCACTTGAGTAGGCCTTATTACTGGGTGGACCCTTAGATGATCAGGAGCCAATAGCCTAACCCCTTTTTTTGGCAGGAGAGGGGGGAGTGGCTGGTAGATGTAGATTCTATCATGTCTCTCTTTTTACAGATGAAAAAACTGAACCCCAGAGAGTTGAAGTGACTTTCCCAAGGTCAAACAGGTTTATCTCAAAAGCAGTATTTACGAAATTTCTGACTTCAGGGTATGTTTCCCCCATATCATACATCGTAAAAGTTGGCATTTTTCCATTAAACATTATAAAGAAGGATTAAATTTCCAGGCCAGTTAAACCTATTTAATATATATTATGCTTACATTATAGTAGGGTGACAAGTTAGCCAGGGTAGAGGAGTGAAGTCCTAGAGCTCATGGGGAAGGACAAAAGTATGAGCCCAGTTGAAAGACAGGCCATATAGTCCAGTGACTAAAGACTATGACTCTCTGAAAATTAGGGAGGCATATTCACATATCAACATTACGGAAGATAAGGGGGGTGACTGTAAGAGGTAGGAGGTTCAAAGTTTTGAGAAGCTATAGCCTATTAGAATAGTAAGAGTATCAATATCCTAGAATGAATCACTGTTGCCTATACTGGTTCCCTCTATGGTGGCAAAGTTTCTCATTAAGAGTTGTATTGCTGGACGGCTATTTTTTAAAAGAAGTATTCTAGGCTTATTGTTAAAAAACATTGTATGAGTGGAAAAATGCATTCCAAGAATCAGCCACAGCTTTCAACACATTCCTGGAGCAGCTAGGTGGTGCACTGGATAGAGAACCAGCCCTGAAGTCAGGAGGACCTGAGTTCAAATCCGGCCTCAGACACATAATGCTCACTAGCTGTGTGACTCTGGGCAAGTCACTTAACCCTACTGCCTAATCCCCCCCCCAACTTCCCCCCCAAACCACATTCCTTTGGGCACAATGGCAGAGGACTAGCATTTAACTTTGTATCCATCTGTCCAAATCGAATAATTAGATGATGAGTTTCTTGAGGACAGTCATTATAACAGAATCTCAGAATTTCAGAACTGGAAGGTATCTTAAAGATCAACAGGTCCAACTCTCTCACCTTAGAAATTTGGAAATTTACACCTAGTGAGATTGAAGTAAGTGGTCCAAGGAAAACAAGTTATGGTAGAGCTGAAACAGAAACTTAAGCTCTCTTGACTCTCAGATTCTAGCAATTTTACCACCATTCCATGTAGCCTCCAAACTTGTTTTTATCCCCCATAACAGCTAGTACTGTAGTAAAATTGATGCTTGCTAAGTATCTGTTGAATGAATTAATTTCCAGATATACAAAGGACATCTTCCCTGCAATCCCATCCTGGGGAGTGGAGCTGGAATACACATATTTCCCAGATGTCTTCCACTTCCTATTCATATGTATAGGTGCTTTCCAAGTCAATTTCATAGGTAAGGGGTTATTTGTATTTTGTGGTTTTCTTTTTTTTCTTTCTTTCTTTTTTTTTTCTGCTTTTAGGTAATTGGGGTTAAGTGACTTGTCCAGGGTCACACAACTAGTATGTATTTTGAAATAAAGTAAAATACCATCATCATATTTTAGGGACATTTCTATTAACTGTATAGTATATATGCATACACAAATAAACACAGACCCAATAAATAGATACTATGTGGCTTGATGTTGGAAATGTATCGATAGCTCATTTTTTCTTTTTTATTTTCACAATTCCATTGCATTGAATATTAGTTTTTAACATAATTTAATTTTCTAATGATTCTATAGAAACTCAATTTTTGAAAATAATTTTATTTCAGCATCAGTTTGTAACAAAATTTTATTTTTAGCTCATATCATCATTTTAAAAGACAACTGATTTTAATGAAAAGCTTTGAAGCAAAAGCAACAAACCTGAATCCATGGTGACTGACTTGGGAGGTTTAACGGGATAAAATACAAAGGGAAAAATAGCTCCATGAATCTGATTTTGTATCTAATGAAAAGAAAAGACAGGTTAACACTGTGCTGTGTCAGCTATACAAGTTACCTAGTATCTTAAGACTTTTGTAGATTGAAAAGACCTGGAAAATTCTTTATTGCAACCTCCTTTTTTTCAACTAAGAATATAAAGCATAGAAAAGTTAAAAAAAATTATTTAACAAAAATCACATGGTAACTCAGAAACAGAAATAAGATGAGCAAAATGACTTTAAGTCTTCTTACTCCAGAATTTCCTACTTGAAAAAATTCATTCTCTCTCTCTCTCTCAAAGAAAAATAAGTAGCACTCAAGGATTTTCCTCTCCTTTTCCTTCTCAACCCTCATCTTTCAGTCTCCTAACTTGTATTAATAGCTCTACCAAAGAGTAAGAAGGAACAGGTTAGTGTACAAACAAATCAAAGAGCTAATTTTATTATACATAAGAAATCTTGGTAAAACATGTTTATGAGATACTAAGGTGAATTATAAAAAGCTTGAGGTACTCCATTCCCCTAATATCAAGTAAAATTAATAACTGGCACTTCTGGTTGGTTCTATTTCTTTGTACTTGATATTAGGCAGAGGAAGGGGAGAGGCTGGTGTTCTTCAGGAACATTTACCTGTATCCTATAAATTTGGACTCTGAGAGACGTCTGATGTGCAGATGTATTATATTCTAATTTTACTGCTGGCAGGTAATTTCTTCTTACAGGTATTATATGTGGTTGTAGAATTTTCATGTTACTACCACTAGGTGTTAAACAAATCTGAAACACATAAAAGTCTTTTTTATTTTTCACTCAAGGCTGTATCACAACAGCAATATTTATATACAACAATAATAAAACATAAAATGCCTAATACATAAAAAGAATAAACATCTGGGTTGTGTTTATATGTTACATTACATATATAATTATAAACATATCATTCTCCAAGCTATTATTACTACCAACACTACAAAATTCATGCTGATATTTATCCATCTTATTTATAAAGTCTGTAACTTCTCTTTACTCAATTTAAAAATTACTAAGATCTAATGAGCAAGTATTCAGGGAAGAAAAAAATTCATTAACTTAAAAACCAAAGGAAATACTTATTTCAATACATAAACTGGCCATTTTGATAACAATAAACCAAATTTTAAAAGTATTTTACCAACATATCATTGATTTAGATGACCACTCAATCCATAAAAATGCTTTAACTAAACATATGATTAAGTCACATAAAAAAGAAAAAAAATCTAGTTTTATTCGATATTTTAAAATAGTACCGAAATACTAGGTTCCAACTCTATAATCTTGTCTTCTGAAGGCGAAATCTCAATGTATTCTTTAAATTCTCTCTCTAATTTTTCAGTTTGCTTTACACTCAATGGCTTCCACCTTGCTTTCTTCTTTGGTTTTGTCTCCCAAACTACATCCGAGCTAGTAGGTGAAAGTAAGACCAGAGCAGTGATGACAAAATTAAAATCAACTTTCTATAATATAGTGTATTATCATTTCATGACAAAAGTACATAACCTTCAATAAAAATACTTAATAATGAATTCCTATCACAAACTGACACAAAACAAATACTGATCTCTCTTATTTTAACCAACAGACTTAAATACTTAGCATAAATAATCATGCTTATATTCATTCTAAAATGGTTGTTCTTCCCCCTCTTCTTTCCTTAGGTTTGCTCCCAATAAATTTTCATACTGCTTTAACAAGTATCAGTATATGATAGAATTAGAGTGTAAAATGAAGCATATTTTTTTCCTTTCCTTTCTCACTTTTTCCTTCCTTCAGAAACAGATGAGGAAATACATATTTTAAATTGGGGGTTTTTTTGTCTTCTCAATGGGGTGGAGAAGGAATAAGGAGAAAATTCAGGACTGAAAATTAAATATAACTGAATTTTAAAAAATATTTTTAAAGTATCAGCATAGAGCCAAAAATTATTTTTAAAAAAACTTGCATTGGATATGAACTAGAATTTTATAATGGCCTTACAATTTGCTGGATAGTACATTATCTTTGAGTAAAGACAATTTGCACACCAATTTTATGATAGGGAAAAAACAGAATTTCTGAGAAAACAAGAACATTTCTTAGGTCAAATATTACAGTAAAAAGTTAAAGCTTGGGGGCAGCTAGGTGGCACAGCAGATAGAGCTTTGGCCTTAGAGTCAGGAGGACCTGACCTCAGACACTTGACACTTCCTAACTGTGTGACGCTGGGCAAGTCACTTAACCCTGATTGCCTCGCCAAAAGAAGGGGAAAAAAGCGCTATTTTTTACTATGGTTAAAATAAACACAAATAATTTAAATCAGTTAAATGCATAACTGAAAAAAATCAGTCTAGATTAAGTGAAATACTAGGTAAGACAAAATACAAAATACAAGAAGCACCTAACTTAAAAGCACAGAGAGGCTATTGAAGCTTCCACTTTAATTTTTAATGAAAATGGAGAAGGAAAAGTTATAGAAATGAAAATTAGGGGATCAATAAAATTGCTAAACCCAATAATCTTGGAAATGTGCAATTACTGATTACTAAATTGTCCACTGTACGAAGATTTAGTTTAACAACAGTTTCCAACTGTTCTTTTCAATAAATTTATCTTATCAAATATTATATTAAGTTAGTTTTGTTATCACTGTTCCATTGTTTAAGTGCTGTCCAACTCTTTGTGACCTTTTGGCAAAGATACTGGAGTGGTTTACACTATTTCATTCTCCAGCTCATTTTTTACAGATGAGGAAACTGAAGCAAATGGGATTAAGTGCCTTGCTCCAGGTCACACAGGTAGTGTCTGAGGCCAGATTTGAATCTCACCAAGGTTAAGTCTTCTTGACTCCAACCCTGGTACTCTATCCACTGTGCCACCTAGCTGCTCTACATTAACTAACAGATTTAGTAAAATATATTCAAAATATTATAACATATAACAATATCATTATTATAACACATGTAATATTTAATAAATTAAATCTCTTTAAAATACCCGTTAGAATTGGGGATTCTTCTCACAGAGATCATTCTGTCAATTTTGTGTTAACCCAATCTTAACGCATCTCAAAAATTAAATGAAATTCTCCAAAATATTTTCAAACTAAAATTATCTAATTATCATTATGAATGAAAACTAAACAAACTAAATTACCTTAAAATTTAAACAAAAATCCACACTTATATAAATATTGGCTATTTATTCAACTATAATTTAACACTCACACACACACACACAATGTCTAACCTTGTGATGCCAATATAGGCTACTTCTTGTTTTGTATAGTTATTAACCAATGAAATTCCAACATCTTGTAATGACAACACAATTTCTTGCTCTGCCAACTCTGCCTTTTCATTTTCATACGTCACTTTAAATACTTTAGGATCTTCAGTGAATAAAATAATGCGTTGCAAGCCTTCAAAGAATGAAACTAAATAAATGGTCTTTTTCCCACCCAAATTTATTGGTGTCATCATGTCCTATGACAAAGTATAAAAACAAAGAGAAAAATTAACTTAGAAAAGCTTTAATATTCGTTCACATTATTTGGGAAGTGACTAACTGGGTTGGGCATCAAGAAAAAAATAGTTCATAAAGTCTATATTTTAAAAATTACTACACGTGTAAGACAAGAAGTTAATGTTCTACTGTTATGGACTATCAGTGATATGTACTGATATAACTCTTTTTCTCTGTAAGCAACTATCAGCGTATTCAACTGTAAGAAATTAAAAATATGAACTTATGAGATGCTATAGCCTAGTTACTATTTATATGGAATGATGTTTATATGGAATTCTAAGGTTTGCAAAGTTCTTCACATATATGATCTCATTTCATCCTCTCCACAACCCTATGAAGTAGGTCCTATTATTATCTCCATATTAAATATGAGAAAACAAGATGAGAATATATAGTGGCTTGCCAAGGGTCACATAGATATTAACTACCTGAGAAAGGAATTGTACTTAGGTCTTCCCAATTCAAAATCCAGCACTCTATTCACTATATCACCTATGTGCCTTATGAGGCACTGTTGCAGCCAAAGTCAGTACCACAAAATTATTAGGCTGCCACTAGGACCTTAGATGCAGAGAGTCCTTACTTTACTTTGGTTTACTACTTCAAAAGAGGTGGGCATCATTTAGATTGCCTCACTATAGCTGGAATGATGACTATTATACTGTACACAATGCTCTTCAGAACAGACCAATAAATGCTTGTTGACTTGACTTTAAACTGGAAGTTGGATAATATCTGACAGCCTCATACTATGATCTTTAAAGTGTACAGAATTACTGTGGCTTTAGAACTGCAAAAAAATTCTTGTAAACATCAAACAAATACTTATAGTCAAACTGAATTTTACTGAGAAATTTAACATGCTAAACTATTATCACCAAGGTTATGGTAATGGGAAAGTTGCAATATATGTAATACTGAATAAAGAAATTAGTTTAAAATATTAACTGTTAAAATTAGGAGTTATTTAGAAGATCATTTAATCCCTACATCATTCAGAAATCAATAGAGTTTCTGACAGGTTTTATGTCTTGCCTATGACCACACAGAAAGGAAATGAAAGAATGAAGTCAAGAACCACACTTTCTATAGATTATCATAGTTCATTTACGCAGAAGTTCTCTGATTAACAGTGTTCAGACATACTGAATGCCAGATAACCACAGTTTACTGTATTTTTTAATAGATAAATTTTTACTACCTTTTCTGTCTAATAATATTTACTTTTGGATTAAAAGCAATAATATGCTAACACCACAAGCTAAAATATGGATTTTCTAAGATAGATATGATTTTAAATTATTTTTCCCAGTTAATCAAGAGAATACTATCACTATGTTAGAAGAAACTTCAATATGGAAATGTCCTGAAAAAAGCACATACTCTCTCATAATTCTATTAAGAAATGAAAACAGAACTAAAGGAAATCGAATTTTTTTAAAATGTAAGTCAGCAGGCCTGAAAGAAGTTTAATATTTTTCTGTCTTTCCTATTTTCTTTTAGTGTAACATTTATAAGAATTTGTAATTACAAGGAGGAACTAAGTGGGTCTGATAATTTGTGGTGAACAGGTAATTTGTTTTCTTATCCTATTCTACTGATTCTTAAACTTTTTTCAATCAACCATGAAGTACAGCAAAAGAGTACCTACACTCATTTGTTCTCCTTGTCACCACAAAAAGATTATGCCCTTGATAAGTCTCAGATCAAATATTTTTTTAAACAACAATTAAATATGATAACATTCATTTCAGAAACTAACATATAGTCCTGGGTTTTATCTATTACAAACGATCAGTGCAGGCCTTAAGAATAAAACTCAAGGGAGGCAGCTAGATGGTGCAGTGGACAGAGCTCTGGCCTTGGAGTCAGGAGGACCTGAGTTCAAATTTGACCTCAAACACTTGACACTTTCTAGCTATGTGACCCTGGGCAAGTCACTTAACCCTGATTGCCTCACCAAAAAGCAAAAAACAAAAACAAAACCTCAGGATTGATTAGAGAAATTCAAATCAAAACAACTCTGAGGTACCACATCACACCTATCAGATTGGCCAAAACAGGAAAATCATAAACGCTGGAGAAGATGTGGGACAACTGGAGCACCAATGTATTGTTGGTGGAGTTGTGAAGTGATCCAACCATTTTGGAGAGCAATTTGGAACTATGCCCAAAGGGCTATAAAAATGTGCATACCCTTTGCCAGCAATAGCACTTCCAGGGCTGTATCCCAAAGAGATCATATAAATGGGAAAAGGACACACATGTACAAAAATAGTTATAGCAGCTCTTTTTGCGGTGGCAAAGAACTGGAAATTGAGAGGATGCCCATTAATTGGGGAATGGCTGAACAAATTGTTGGCATATGAATGTAAAAGAATACTACTGTGCTATAAGAAATGATGAACAGGCAGACTTCGGAAAACCTGTAAAGACCTGTATGGTCTGATGCTGAATGAAGTGAGTAGAACCAGGAGAATGTTGTACACTGCAACTGCCACACTGTGTGATGACTAATACAGATAGACTTAACCCTTCTCAGCAATACAAGGATCTAAGACATCTCCAAAGGCCTCATGATGGAAAACACTAACTACATCCAAAGAAAGAACTATGGAGTTTGAATGTAGATCGAGCACACTATTGGCTATTTTTTTTCTTCTGCTGTGTTTTGTTTCCTCTTTCTGGTGGTTCCTCCCATTGGTTCTAATTCTTCCTTACAACATCACTAATGTGAAAATATATTTAATAGGAATGTATATGTATAGCCTATATCAGATTGTGCACCACTTTGTGGAGGGAGGTGGGGAGGGAGGGGGAGAGAAATTTAAAATGCAGAAGCTCATGGAAGTGATTGTTGATAAATCAAAATAAATTAATTAAAAAAAAGAATAAAACTCAGGGCATATTCACATATTGCTTCTTCAGATAATAAAAAATATATCTATGTGGAAGACTGGGAATGTACTTTTCTAAGAACAGTTTGCCCTATTCTGTAAATTAAGATACAAATACATAATGAAGTGAAGAAAATAAAATCATCTGAGTTTAAGTTTTGATTTACTTTAAAATTGTTACCACTCTAGAAGACTATGTACCACATTCAACACTGTCATCTTTCTAGATGAACATATCATTATAACAGGTGAGCGAAAGAGATGATATCTAAGTCAGTTACAACTGTAAACTCCAATCAAAATATATACATCTTTTTGTGTTACTTCACCACGGGTCTTTCCACATTTCCAGGTCAGTTTTCTAGAGCCTATGGGATCACTCCAAGTATACAAAACTGCTTTACCAGGAGGAAGCATGTCTTCCATTTCAGCGAGACAGCTAAAATACACAATAAACATAACAGCTTACATAAGAATTTAAGTACTTAAAATGCAAGTCAATACCACGAACTCATTAGTTCGCAGGTATAAGGTTATCTTTGCAGCAGGGAAAATGTTTGTAATGTTTACTGTAAGCAAGACAGCAAACGAAACTTTTGCCTTAAGAAATACTTTAAGCACTGGAGACCACTTTCCAAACACCAGCATTTTGAACACTAACAAATGAATAGAATAAATCATCAATGATACTTACTTGTGCAGCATAATTTTTGTTTTGTTTTATTAAACCTTTATTTGATAACACTTTGGTGGCAGAGGCAGTGAAATCAGAAGACATGGTCAAAGAAATGCAATCTTAATAGCAAAGATTTAGAGCTTAAAGTTACTAAAGAGGGGAAGAGGAACAAGTATTTATTAAGTACCTACTGTGTGCCAGGACCCGAGACAATTAAAAAGTTTTGACATAGTTTCTGGGTAATTTAATCATTTTATTAATAAGGTCAGCAGGTTATTAATAAAAGGCTAGCATTTGGCCATTTCTCTTAGACCAAAGACCTCTAATGGTGGTGAGGTCACATTTATATGGCCTTTACAGAGGGGGTATTCTCAAGGGGAGGCAATCAACTCGGACTGCTTAACACAATGAGAGATGTGGAGTATATTAAAATGAAGGTTGTGGTGTACCTGACTTAGGTCACTAAAAACTTAGCCAAAGAGATATCAATTTCCACATCACCTATCTTGATAATCTTGATAATAGGGAGAATGAACTCCCCACCCCCAACCTTGTTCAGGACAAATACAATGAGCAGGATTACACTCATTAGCCTAAACTTAGAATTTCCTTAGCTGTCTGATCACATCTTGGCCTGGGCAAATCTCTAAGAGAGATTTCCCACAATGGTTGGTTTTTGGATGAGGAAGTAGAAAAGGGAAAAAAAACCTTGGACATAATACAGTACTTAGATATTAAATATAAGAGAGTAATATTCATTTCTCACAGTTCTGTGCTAAGTATTTCAAAAATATCTAATTTGATGCTCATAACTTTGTGAGGAAGGTGCTATTATTACCGCTATTGTACAGCTGAGGAAAAAAGGCAAATAGCTTTGTGATTTCTTAGGGTCACACAGGAAGTTAAGTGTCTGAAACTGAATTTGAACTCAGGGCTGGGTCCACCTAGCTAACTTTAGAGGTCATCTATTACAATCCAATCATTTTAAAGATTAATACATTGAGCCTCAGTTTTCATAAGTAATTTACCCAATGTCACAAAGGTAGTGAAAAAGCCAAGCTTTGAAGTCAGATTTTCTGACTCCAAATCCAGGAATCTACGCATTGCACTCTTATTTCTTCTCTCCTTGGCTTGCTGGGACGGATGAAAGACTGAACCATAGCCAAATTCTATAATTACAAACAAATAAGCCACATAAACGATCATGAAATTTTCAAATTATGCTGAACTTTCCTGGAGGACCAGAAAATATTTAAAAGTTACTCTGATAAAATGGAAATATAGTCTTACAAAAAGAGATGTATGCAAAGTGATACAACTAACAACCAAGAAATAAAAAATACAAATAAAGGACACCACAATGCTGACTAGTCAGAAATGCAAGAACAGATGTAGGCTTAATAGCTGGCCACAATATTAATTTAAAAAAAAAAACAATGCCCTCATTCAACAAAGTCTGGTGGCTCTCTATTACCTCCAAGATCAAATATAAAATATTACGTTTGGCTTTTAAAGCCATTCACAGCAAAGAACTGGAGATTGAAGGAATGGCCATCAATTGGGGAATGGCTGAACAAGTTGTGGTATAATGGAATCTATTGTCCTATAAGAAATTATGCTGTCTGACCCTGGGCAAGTCACTTGACCCTGATTGCCTCTCCAAAAAGCAAGGAAAAAAAAAAAAAGAAATTTGAGCAGGAAGATTTCAGAAAAACCTGGGAAGATTTACACGAACAGATGTTGAGTGAAGTGAGCAGAACTAGAAGAACACTGTACACAGTAACAGCGACACTGTGTGAAGATCAACTATGACAAACTTAGCTCTTTTCAGCAATACAATGATCAAAGACAATTCCAAAAGATTCAAGATGGAAAATGATACCCACACATCCAGATAAAGAATTATGGAGTCTAAAGGCAGATTGAAGTATACTATTTTCACTTGCTTTTTGTTTTTTTCTCTCTCTTGTGGTTTTCCCTTTTGTTTTGATTTTTATTTCACAATTATGACTTATGTGGAAATATGTTTAAAATGACTGTACACATATAAGCTATATCACATTGCTTGTTGTCTTGGGGAGGAGAGAGGGGAGGAAGAAAAATGTGGAACTCAAAATCTTTCTTTACATGTAATTGGAAAAAATAAAATACTATTATGTGGGGGAAAAAACAAAGCCCTTCATACCTTTCCAGTCTTGTTACACCTTACTCTCCTCCATATATATTCATGAACAAGTGACACTGGCCCCCTTGCAAACTATACTCCATTTTCTGATTTGGTACATTTTCATTGGTGACTGTCTTTCGTGCCTGGAATTTTCTGCTTCTTCATTACTGCCTTCTGGCTTCCTACAAGTGTCAGCCAAAGTCTTACTTTCTGTCAGAAATCTGAGTCTTGCCTAACGTCATCCTTTCCCTCTAAGATTATCTCCAATTGAACCAATATATATCTTGTTTGTACAACACAGCTATTTGCAAGTTGTCTCCCCACAACAGATAGTGAGCTCCTTAAGAGTAGGTTTGACTGTTTTGTTTTTTAATCTTTATATCCCCCAGGCCTTAGCAGTGTCTAGCACATAACAAACACTTAATAAACTCTTGTTGGCTTCTCTCTGATCACTTTTCTGTATTACCACAGCTATTATTCCAAACTTTCTCTTTTCTTCTCCAGTCTTCTAAACCAATTCCATTTACAGGGTCTTAGCTAAGGCCTCTCATCATAATTCACCTAAAAAATGAAGACATTTACCACAAATTCCTTCTTTCCCTCTCTTCTCACACTGCCATGACCTTATCACCCATTATTTTCTTGACTCTGGTTTCTGATTAAGAGGTAGCACTTCTTGTCAAAGCAATCCCTCTTCATTTACCCTGGATCCAATCCCCATCTATCTTCCTTAGCAGATTGCCTTCATATAATCCCCATTCTCTCTCTCCAATCTTCAGCTTCCTCCTCCTTACTGACTCCTTCCTACAACCTACAAATGTTTCTAAGTATACTCTATCATAAAAACAAAACCAAACCCCCTTCATTTGGTCTATCTCTGATAGCTATCTTCCTTTATCTCTTCTCTCCTTCTTAGCTAAACTCCTCAAAAAAGACATCTAAATTCAATGACTGTTTCTTTGAGTGTTCTATACCCTCTGCAATCTGGTTTTCAACTTTATCATTCAAAAGAAATTCTTCTCTTCTAAGTAACCAATGAGCTCTTAATTGACAGATCTAGCAGCCTTTCCTCAGTGCTCATCCTCGTTGGCCTCATTGGCGTGCTTCACACTGCTGACCACTTTCTTTCCTGCGACACTATCTCCTTTGGTCTGCTAGATGATTTCCCATGCTTTGGCCTATTCCCCTTCTTCAGATACCTGGAGAACTGACCTTTCATTGCCTTTATGATTGTGTCACTTAGTAGGAACTGCCTCTATGTACACTTGGTGTAGTCTAATTAGTTTTTTCATCTTTGTTTTCTTAGTGCCATTATTGTCTCTTCTATAAGCATATCTTGAATGTGATGTTAGAGTCAAAATGGTATGGTTGTCCTTTACGGTGAAAAGAGTTTGATACAAAACCAAAACAAAACAAAAAAACAAAAACACCACAACCTTTTCTATTTTTTTGTTCTCTTCCCATTTTCACCCTTAAGTACGCCTTTGGGATGACTGCTTAGATGGGACTTTCACCAAGATTTTTTAAAATTGGCTTTTCCTTCTACTGCTCAATCTCTACCATCTTTCTCTGTAAAATGTTACAAACAGGGAAGATGGTAGAATAGGTCAGAAAATACTAGGCTCTCCAAATCCCAACCCCTCCCAACAAGACTGAACATCTCAAAGTCAACTCAGAGCAAAAGTCTGGACAAAGGAGTTGTCCTTCTAAGATAACTTGAGGGGACCTCAGGAAAGACTGGACCTCAGGAAAGACTGGACCTCAAAGTATAGAAGTTTGGCTCCACTGAAGTGCAAACATCTCTAGGAAGACTCACCTAGTAAGAGAGCTGGCAGAGGGGTGGAGACCCTGCTGACTGTGGGCACTAGCAGAAGAGTGGAGGCTCTGGTTTTGGTTCCAGAGCAGAGGGAAAAGCAGAAGTTTTCAGCCCTGCGAGGGACAGCAGAAAGCAAGAGCCTTTGCAGGACAGTATGGCTGGCCATGGGGAGTAGGGGTAGGGAGGGGAGGATGCAGCTAGCTGAGGCTTGGGGTGGAGAAGAATGACTGAGGTTGGACCACAGACAGAAACAGAACCTCATAACAATAATAAGCTGCTAAAAATAAATAAATAGATAAATAGAAATAAAAATAAAAATGAATACGCAAAGGAAAAAGAACCCAACCACTGATAGCTACTAGGGAGAAAGAAAAGATCTAGGTTCATATTCAGAAGAAGATAGAAGAGTTTAAAGCCACTCCAACTGAAAGAGAAATGTTAAATGGTCATAAGCCCAAAAAGAGTTCTTGGAAGAACTTAAAACAGACATCAAAAATAAAATAAGACTGAGGTAAAATTAGGGGAAAAATAAGAACAATATAAGAAATTCAAGAAAATTATGAAAAAAAGAAAGCCAACCAATTAGAAAAAGAAATGCAAAAACTTAAGAATGAAAATAACTCCTTGAAAACTAGAATTAGGCAAGGGGAAGTTAATGATATTATATGAACCAAGAAATAATAAAACAAAATCAAAACAATGAAAAAATACAAGAGAATATGAAATATATCATTAGAAAAACAAGTGATCTGAAGAACAGATAGAGGAGAGACAAGATAAGAACTGTTGGGCTGAATAATAATTGAAAGTTACGATAAAAAAAATCTTGATATAGTATTACAAGAAATCATTAAGGAAAATTTCCTTGAAGTTACAGAACAAGAGAGTAAAGTAGTAATAGAAAAAAATCTACCAATCACCACCTGAAAGAGATCCCAAGATGAAAACTTAGAGGAATATCACAGCCAAGTTTCAAAGCTCCCAGGTTAAGGAGAAACTATGACAAGCAACAAGAGAAAAAATTTTTAATACCATGGAGCTACAGTCCATACAAACATAAAACCTAGCACCTTCTGCATTAAAAGACCACAGGGTTTGGAACGTCATATTTTGAAGATCAAAAAAGCCAGAGTTGCAACCAAAAATAACCTACCCAACAAAGCTAAGTAGAATCCTGAAAGAAAAAGAAAAGGAGATTTAATGAACTAAAAGACTTTCAGGTATTTGTGATAAAAAGATTAGAACTCAGTGGAAAATTTGACATATAAGATCCAGAAGAAAAATAAGGTAAACATTAAAGACCAAATGTAAGGAACTCAACAGGATCATACTGTTTACTTCTTGCATGTGAAAATGTTATCAGTACTCTTAAGACTGTCATCACTACCTGGGTAGTTTGAAAGAAAGGCTTAGGCTCAGCTGAGCATGATGGGTTGATTCTAAAAACCAAAACTCGGTAGGAAGAGGTAAAAAGGAGCAACTGTCTCATACAAATGAGGAGTGAAAGGAAGAAGTGACACAGAGGAAGCAGGTGAGGGTGGAAGGCTGGTAATGCTAGAATATCATTCTCATCCAAACTGGGTTAAAGAGGACACAACACTGGAGGAGGACTTAGCAGAGGTCTCTCAGATCCTGAAAAGGCCTTCATATAACTCTGTCACCCCTCAAGTTATCATCTTATTTCTCTTCTCCAATTCTTACCCAAACTCATAGAAGGAAACATCAATTGCTGTCATCCCCATTTTCTTACTACACCCCCTCAATCTATTCTTAATTTTTGTTATTTGATTTCCAATCGTATCATTCATCTGTCAGTTCTATCTTAACCGCTAAATCCTTAGTCTTCATCGTATTTACCCCCACTCCTAACCCACCCATGTAACTTTTGACAATCATCCCTCTCTTTTCCTGGACACTTTCTCCTTCCTTGGCTTCCATAATATTATTCTTAATTTTCCTACAACCTGCAGTATTATGCCATTTCAGCTTCTTTACTGGATCATCATCTTGCTCTTGCATATTGTAGGGTCATCTCTCAAAGATCTAATTTGTGCCTGCTTGTTTTCTATTTCTACATCCTTTCCCTTACTGACTTCAACAGTACCTATAGATTCAATAATCCCCTTTATAGACGACTCCCTGATCTCCAAGTCTTGCCATAATCTTTCTTGAATTCAAGCCCCATATTACCAATTCCTACCTAGATGTCCTATAAGCACTTACAATTTATTCAAAATATAACATGTTTTACTCCAAAATTTATCCCTCAAATTTCACTATTTTTGTTCAGAGTACCACCATCCTTCCATTTGGGCTGGGTCACAACCTCAGAATCATTTCTCTCTCTCTCTCTCTCTCTCTCTCACACACACACACACACACACACACACACACACACCCATGTCATTTCCTTTCTTAAAAATTATCAGTGGCTCCCTCTGACTTCTAGGATGAAATACAAAATACTCACTCTGGTATTAAGTAATTTTTAACAATCATGCTCCCCCTTAGCTTTCCAATCTTCATTCATCTTACTCTCCCGTCCACATTCTCCATTCCCATTAAACTGGCGTATTTGCTATCCCTTATATACATCATGCCATTTCCCATTTACATGACTTTACACAGTTTGCCTGCACATCTTGCCTCATAATTCTTAACTTCCTTTCAAGCACAGATGAAGTAGTACCTCCTTCTACACAAGTCTTCTCCCATTAACCTCAACCATTACTGTGAGTGTTCTATACCTGTAGAAATTACTTTGCATATACTTTGTTATTTTCTTATCTTTGTATATATTTTTCCCTTTCCCCAGGAGAATGTAAACTTCTTGAGGGCAAGAATGGTTTCATTTTTCTTCCTGCATGCCTAGCCAATAGTAAAGTGTCTTGCACAAAACAGGCACTTAATGAAAATCTGCTGAACTGAATTGTTGAATCTGGCAAGGAATTATCTTTCCAGAGTTCTCTGAAACTAAATTCCTTTTCACAAGTCTATGATCCATCATTAATTAAACATGTTTCTTTCATTCCATCTCACTTTTGAAAACCTTAATGGATCATGATAGGTTCATTGTCTTTTGTAACAAACCAGGCAGCACATATAATTTATGAATAACTTACCTTTGTTTATATTCAACGATCTCATCCTTGGTGTGATTTATTAAAAGGAATGTAGCAGATCCATCATGATAATCCATAAATGTAATAACTGTAGAGTGCTCAGCTATGTTAACTTGTACTATAATTCCTCCAAGCTATCAAATATAAAAACAAAATATTCTGTTACTGTCAATGATAGCACTGTGAACAGGACTTCCAAGATGATGGCAGTATAGAAGCTTGTGAGACATGCTTAAAAACCCATTGAAAAAATGAGAAGAGAATAACATAAAATAAAATTGCTGAAAAAAAAATCACAGGAGAAAATGAAAGTATATTAAAAACAAAAACAAAAACAAAACAAAACAAAAAAACAACAGAAGAAAAAGTCTAAAACAAAGTACCAATTTTGGGGTCTATGAACCAAAAGTAAAAGCATGCTAAAAGAAATAGCACATAAAATTCCAAGGTTTCTTCAGTCGGATAACTGAAAAGTTCCAAAGATTTTTTAAAAAGTTAAAATTAACAAGAAAATCAAAAGCAAAATTAAAAGAAGGGTCTCAGAAATAACACTGAATTGGAAGCTAGAAGATCTGTTTGATCTCTCACTTTACCTTGTTAACCACAGGCAAGTTATGTAACTTCTCTGTGACTCAATTTTTCTACACAATAAGGGGTTTGGACTACCTGACTTCCCTCTAAAATTTCCTTCCAGGTCTAGCATCTATACTACTATTAAAACAAATTATAGGAGGAAATGAGGCTAGAACTGACTATTTATTAAAGAAATAAATGAGAACCATTATCACTACAGAATAACAGTAAACTTCAAAATCACTGAGTAGAATTAGAAGTTTGTTGCTTTGTGGAAGCTGAAACCACACTCTGAACATAAGTAACTTGGAAAGAGACTGAGAAACAACGTAGATAATAGTTAACAGAGAGCAGAAACCTAAGATCAATGAGGTGATAGTATGCCAAGTACTGTTTTCTGCTTCTTCCCACTGAGACAGCATCTGTGCCACAATAGACCTGGACCTCTACACATTAAGAAGTTAATAACTCATCTTTAGAACATCCCTAAAAGACTAATGCTGTCATTAAATTTAGCTGTGAAAACCAAGAAAAGCTGGAAACTTGAAATATGACATATATAAAACTGAAATACATGGGTCATGAGTCTAAATCTGGAATCAAAATGACTTCAGAATTATTGAGTCATAGTTACACAGTAGTTTGTCAGAAAAACATCTTAGGAGTTCTGGTGGACTACAAATTCAATTCAAGTCAGCAGTATAATGTGTCAACAAAGAATGTTGGTTTGCATTGAGACGCATAAGGAAGTGATAAACTTGCTCTGGTGAGAGCACATGTTAACTACTGTGACCAGCTTTGAGTGGCGTAGCTTAAGAATGAGTGCCCAGAGGAGCACCACAGATAGTGAAGGGTGTTGAGAATCATTTGAAGGAATTGGGGATGTTCAGCATAGAGAAGAACTCAAGGAGAACATGGCAACTGTATTTATATGCAGAATTTTGATAAGATGGTCAATGACTGTGGTTAGAGATAAATAAGATTACAACAAACTTTTTTCCTTTCTCAGTCAGTGTACTAAGCACTGGAGACATGAAAAGAAGAAGGCAGTCACTGCTCTCAAGATTAGTCTGTTAACAAAAATGGAAATAAATAGTAAAACACAATTTGAAAATTAACTATTCTGTAGGGCACTATCAGTATAATTGTAACGAGAAGGCACTACGTAGAGGTTAACAATAATTGATACATCAAAACAAAATATCACATCTTCCCCCAAGTGTGCTAAATGATGGGGATATAGAGACAAAGATGAAATAGGTCCTGTTCTCAAGGAGCTTATATTCCATCAGAAGGAACAACATATACAAAATGTATAACTGAGTAAGTACAAATTAATTTTGCTGGGGGTTGGGGGACTGGAAGTTGGGTGAAATCAGGAATGGCCTTATATAGGAGGTAGTATTAAAGCTGAGCTAATTTAAAGGGCTAAGGATTCTTTCTAAGAGGCAAAATTGAAGAAGTACATTCTAGGCATAATTAGATGGTCAATGCAGAGGTAAAGAGATCAGAAATGAGAGTGTTATGTGTGAGGAAGTGTAAGAAGGCTAGCCTAACTGGACCAAAGGTTTTGAAAAGCAGAGTGATATGTAATAAGCCTGGAAAAACAGGGAGAAGTCTTCACATGCTTAAAGTAGACATTCCCCTACCTCACCAATGGGTCTGAGGCCTGTTGGATATCCTCATCCTGAGTTAGCTGGTCTGCTGAGATAGTTTTACCGAGGTGTGGTCACTATACACGTACAGCTTCTTGGAGCTACAGGTGAAAGTTCAAGTGATAGGTGGATACCAAAGGTGGATGAGCAGCCCTGAAAAGGGCCAGTCAAGCCTGTATACCAACCAGAGGTGCTAGTCCTCCAACACTACTTTCCAACTCCCTCAGACTCACAACCTAAGTATCATCCTCAAATCCTCAATATCTTTCACACACATCCTGCCATATCAAATTTGTTGCAAAGGCCTATCAATTTCACCTTTGTAACATCATTCCAATATGCTTCCTTCTCTCCTCCGACACCATCATCACTCTCTTGCAAGCCCTTATCACTTCATGCTTGCTGGTGGGTCAGCCTGCCTCAAGTCTCTCCCCATTAGATCAAAGTTATTTTCCTGAAGAGTAAGTTCAACCATGTCACCTTCCCAACCCTCTCATCCCTATTCAGTAAACTCCAGTGGCTCCCCATCACCTCCAAGATTGAATACAAAATTCTGTTTGGCCTTCAAACTCCTTCATAACCTGGCCACACTCCCACATCCAGTCTTCTTATACCTTACTACCCAACATGTACTCTTTGATAAAGTGACACTGATCTCTTTGCCATTCCACTAAAAGACACTCCATCTCTCACCTCCCAGCATCTTCTCTAACTGTCCCCAGTTCTTGGAACGCTTTCCCTACTCACCTCCACCTACTGACTTCCTTGGCTTCCTTCAAGTTTCACACTAAAATTCCATCTTCACCTCTCCCAAATACTCTTAATTCTAATGCCTCTTCTCTTAATTTTTTCCTGTATATAGCTTGTTTATAAATATTTGTTTGCCTATTGTCTCCCCTACTATACTGTGTGTTCCTTGATGGCAGACTATCTTTTGCCTCTTTTTCCATTTCCGTGTTCAGCACAGTGCCGGGCACACAGTAGGTGCTTTATAAATATATACTGAATGACGGAGCCACCATCACTCTCTTGTACATTCGCTTGGCTCTAAAGAATATCCTCTAATAAATTTCATTAGATCACCTAAGTCTTGTTTATGGGCTCTTTCTACTATTCTCCTCACAAACACATAATTAATAACTTGGAGTGGCATTTGCCTCCAAATGTAGGAATAGAAATGGATTGGAAAAAATAATCAAGTCTCTCACATTTAAAAACTCCTCAATCTCAAATAGAGCCCTCTTTTTTTACTGTTGTGCTGAATGGCCTTAATTTTGTAATGTCTGAGAAAGACTTAGGCTACATATATACATACATCTGAGAATCTCTTGCACAAAGATGAGAAATGAACCTGAGGGAGATGGATAGGAAGAAAGGGGAGTACAGAGAGAAAAGAAGGACCAGGTCAGGACTACCAGATGTACCTGGCACATGTAGGGAGTAAACACAGATATATGTACAGGGTATATTAGGAAGTCTGAGGCATACTGTTTCCCCCTGAAAAGTGACTTTACATCTCAAGTTAATCTAATACATACTCTTTTAAAGTATGGATTAATAGATAATGTAATAAAAATTGTGTTATAGAAATGTACAGAATGCATACATGAAATGAAGAAATTCTGAAAGAAATGGAAATGGGAATTTGGATGGGGGGGGAAGGGATTTCTATCCAAAGGGCTAAGCTACTAAGCCAGAAGTAAGGGCAGGGATATGAAAGCACCAGGCAGCCTGCTGGATCTCCAAACACACAGTTACATAGCACAGAGATCCTAAGTGGTCAGCATGATAAGTAGCTCATGGCAATGATACCTGTAGGAGGCAGAAAGTGAAACAGATGGACCTGGGAAGGGAAAGCAAGAGTAATTATCATATCTGTAGACTTTCTTTGCTACAAAAATAGTCATGTGAAAGAGCATTTTTAATGCTAGCACAGGTAAAAACAAACTAAAAAGTATAATGTGACAATAATGCTATAACTCACTTGCCTGACAGAGCAGGGGTGATTCTCACATCTGCAGGCTCTATTTGCTGCAACTGATTATATAAAAGGGACTTTTAAAACTAAAACGAGTGGAAAAAAACACACACACACTAAGAAGTATGATGTGTCAAGAATAGCTTGAATCACTCATCATATTCTATGATAAACAAGAATTGACTGTCAGTTACAGTGACATGATTAAGGAATGTAAATCCTTAATTCATCTCAATCTCTGCAACAGGAACATGACTATAATCTATTTTGGTCAATTATCAAGTTAGCTTTATTATCCATAGTGACGGTATGGCATGGTGAGTAGAGCGGGCTGAAAATCAGGAGGATGTTGGTGCCAGTCCTGCCTCTGATCCTGGCTATGTATACGTATTATGTGTGACCCTGGGGAAATCACTTATTTTCTTACTGCTCTTGGAAACTCACTAAAACTGTAAATTGCAGAAAAGGTAAAGACATGCACTGATAGAAAAAGCTCCTCACTGCGAGCTCTCCACACCAATGAAATCACAAGTAACATACTATGATAACTGACTATATCTTGGCAAGTGCCTGGCAATCACTATAGCAAAAATCTTAGTGAATTTTTCCCTTTTTGGAACTTGACTAATATCAATAAACATAAACATTTCCCCATACAAAAGAACAAAAAAAAAACTTCATACGAAACTGAGTTACTATGCTTGTAATGGGCTGGGTCCAGCGGTGAAGGAACCTAGGAATAACCCCGAGGAGGGCACTGGCTGCTTCTGCAGCGCTGCCCTCTTCCACCCATGTGTTGGGTAGCATCTTGCAGTTCCCAAAGGGATTGAGCCCTGGGCCCAAAGGGAGGGGTGTGGTCCTGAGGCCTTGGGCTGCTGCATGCTACCCTGACCTTCCTCCTTTTCTGATTCATCATCTGCCTAAGAAGAAGGAAGAAAAAGAAAGACATGGTCAAGCTGCTTCAGCACTCTTCAGTTAAAGTTCACTCATTCTCAGAAGCAAGGAAGAAGGGGACGATGATCCTAGGTTGTGGACATTATCAGTAGAGATAATGGCAAAATAAACTGAGGCATAAACAGTTGTTTTTCAGCCTCTATTGTGAGGTAAATCATGGCCCCCAGAGACTGATATTTTGTGAATATTTTTGGCTTTATTGTCAATTTTTTGTTTAACATAGACCAGCTCCTTCACACAAAAGACTGTGCATTGGAATTTGGAATATCTAGTGCCTTTTCATAAAGTGTTTTTCTATTTTTAAAAATTTAATCATATAGAATATTACATTTTTATTACTCTTGGAAAACAGTCTAGTTATGTGGTCTCCATGAATGCTTTCAGTATTAATCAGCAAACAATGAATTAAACAACTTCCTATCTAACCCTAATTAAGATATTACACGTTCTTCACTAAAATGTTATAAATAATAAGTTTTTTAAAAAAATACTACTTAAAACAAGCAACAGGAAAAAAATTAATCTCTTTTACATTAACTTATATAAACCATGAAGGGCTTTTACATGTAACCTCTAGGAAGCAATATAAACTCCCTCTTTTGACCTTAAAATATCTTCATATCCTGTCTCCTACCTACCTTTCAAAATGGCTAATTATCATTTAGTACTCCCATTTCATGCTCTGTGATTTCCAATTTTGCTTTCTTGCCATCGCTCAAAGACACTATTCCCACCTCCCATTGTGGTATCACTGTGCAGAAGCCTATCTTTCTTTCCACACACTATTACTATATTAGGACACTAATGTCCTGCTTATGAAGTTAGATTTTCTTCAAAATACCCTATGAAATACTGGCAAGTACTAACAATCTGTTTCATTTTTAAAGAGGGAGGAAGAAACACATTTTACAAATTAGCCAACATTATACTATTGTTTTTCAAGCCAAAGGAAGAACACTACACAGTAATTTCTCTACTAACTTTTTAAGAGTCACTTACTTTGTTGCCTAGGTTCAACAAAATACAATTTTCTTGTTTGTTCAAATGTATCTTCTTTGGAGGATCTTCGCTGTTTTCAACTTGAATCAGCAGTTTATTAGAAGTTGTTTCAGGCCAAAAGGGGATACACTAAAAGGAAAAGAAAATATTTATGTACATACATATATAAAATAACCAATAATCATTGTCTACAAATTAATATGCTACATGTGTTAAATTAAATAAATTCTAATAATTTTTAAAAATCTAAAAGTAGAGTCAGAGCCGAGAGGGTAAAGGCAGAGACTTGCCTAAGCTCTCCCAAATTCCCCTTTGAAAAACTTTAAAATAACACCCCCAAAAAGAAGCAATATGAGGAGAGGGTAAAACAATTCTCCAGCCCAACAGAATATAGAAGGTTGACAGGAAAGGTCTGTCTCACTGGGGTGAGAGTAAAGCATAGTCCAGTACAAGTAGTGCCTCAACAAACCAGTAGTAGATGGGGCCACAGCATGCCAATGCAGGCTCTGGGGATGACTGAATCTGTGTTGGCAACTTTCAGAGCTCTCAGCATACAGATGATAAGGGGGTGGGACAACTGGTCAGGAGGAGATTACTAGGGACACTTTGCAGGCACTAGTTATAGGACTCTGTTGCACTGCCCATACAGGAATATGGGTGGCAGGCTAAAGTCACAGTCCAGGGTGATGAGTACTAGCACATGAAGCTCACAGTTTCAGGGTAACAGGGACTATAGAGTTCCAGGATGGAAAAAAATATGTGGTAGCTCACAGACCAGAACACAGGCCAGAAGAGCAATAAATACACTTTTCCTCAGATACTACAATCTTTTTAGAACTGAAAACTTTGAGATCACCAGAATTAACTCTGAAAACAGCAGCACAAAAAACCTAAAGCTTGAGACAGTGCCCCCTCCATCCCTGGAGCAGTGCCCAATATTAACATAAAGGCAAAAGGTAAGAAACAGGTTGGAAAAGTGAGCAAGCAACAACAAAACAACCTGACCACATAAAGCTATTATGGTAACAGGGAAGATAAGATAGACATCCAAAGGAAGACACCAAAATCAAGGTAGCTACATGCAAAGCCTCAAAGAAAAATGTGAACTGATCTAAAACACAAAAAGAATTCCTCGAAGACTCCAAAAAGGATTATAAAAATAAAATAAGAGAGGTAGATGGAAAATTGGGAAAAGAAATGAGAATGGAGAGCCAAGATGATAGAGTAAAAGCAGTCACCTCCTTGAGCTTTCCCCTAAACCCCTCCAAATATCTGTAAAAAATGGCTCTAAACAAATTCTAAAGCAGCAGAACACACAAGAAGACAGAGTGAAACAAATTTCCAGCCCAAGACAACCTGTATGGTTAATTGGAAAGGTCTATTGGGCCAGGCCTGGAGAGCAGCGCAGTTCAGCATGGGCCATGCAGGGGAAGACTGGGCCTCAGTGAACCTGGAGCAGTCCTCAGTGGACTGATTCACAGACAGCTGTGATGGTTTCCAGATTTCTCAACCCACAAGCGCCAAAGACAACTTAGAAGGTCAGTAGGAAAGGTCTGTCTGACCTGGGTGAGAGAGAGAAGCTCAGTCCAGCCCCAGTCCTGGCACAGCCCTGGGTGGTGGCTGCTTCCAGAGCTCTTGGCCCACAGACAGGGGGGATCAAGTGGCTGATCAGAGGGGGATTGCAGGGAGAGAGCAAAAGAATAAATGTAGATTACTTTAAAATGATAAGTATTATTTATCTAAAACCATCAGCAAGCATGGTCTGTATTGGGGATAAGCTAGAAGCCTTTTCAATACAATCAGAAGTATGCAAGGATGCCCATTATCACCTTTATTATTTAATATTATACTAGAAATGTTAGCTATACCAATGAGAAGAAAAATAAATTAAAGGAATGAGGAAATAAAACTATCACTCTCTGCAGAAGATGGGATGTTATACTTAGAAGTCCTAGAGATTAAAAAAAAATACTTGAAATTATTAACAACTTTAGCAAAGTCATAGGATACAAACTAAACCCACATAAATTATCAGCATTTCTATATACTACCAACAAAGTCCAGCAGCAAGAGATAGAAAGGGAAATTCCTTTTAAAATAATTGTAAACATACAAAATACTTGGGAGTCTACCTGCCAAGACAAACCCAGGAGCTATCTGAACAGAACTATAAAACACTTTTTCCATATAAGCAGGCTCAGCAAATATAATAAAAAAAGATAATTCTACCTAAATTAACCTATTTATTCAGTGCCATACCAATGGAACTATCAAAAAAATATTTTACAGAACTATAAGAAAAAACATAACAAAATTCATCGGGAAGAACAAAAGCTCAAGGATATGATGGGAATCGATGGATAAAAAAACCATGAAAGATGATGGCCTAGCCATACCAAAGCTCCAACTATAGTACCAAGTGATAATTATCAAAACAATCTGATACTGGCTAAGAAACAGTGGTGGATCAATGGAATAGATTAGGTACAAATTACATTATAGTAAATGACCACAGTAATCTAGTATATGATAAACCCAAAGATCCAAGCTTTTGGAACAAAAACTCATTATTTGACAAAAACTGCTGGGAAAACTGGAAAACAGTATAGCAGAAACTAGGTATAGACAAAATTCTCACACCAAAAACCAAAATAAGGACCAAATAGGTACATGATGTACATATAAAGGGTTATACCATAAGCAAATTAAGAGAGCATGGAATAATTTATCTGTCAGACTTATGGATAAGGGCTGAATTTAGGACCAAAGGAGATATAGAGAGCATTAAAAACATGAAGTAGATAATTTGGATTATGCAAAATTAAAAAGTTTTTGCAAAAACAAAACCAATGCAACCAGAATTATAAGGAAAGCAAAAAAACTGAAAAAAATATAGAGAGAACCAAGTCACAAGTCATTCCCCAACTGAGAAATGGTCAAAAGATATGAACAAGCAGTTTACAAAGTAGTCATATGAAAAAATACTCCAAGTCACTGTTGATCAGAGAAATGCAAATTAAAACCCCACACCTATCAGAGCGGCTAACGTGACAAAAAAGGAAAATGCTGGATGATGTAGGGGATGCGAGAAAACTGGGACACTAATGCCCTGTTTGTGGAGTTGTGAACTGATCCAACCATTCTGGAGAGCAATTTGGAACTATGCTCAAAGGGCTATCAAACTGTGCATACCCTTTGACCCAGCAATAGCACTTCTAGGTCTGTATCCCAAAAAGATCATAAAAATGAGAAAAGGACTCACATGTAAAAAAATATTTATAGCAGTTCTTTCTGTGGTGGCAAAGATCTGGAAATTGAGGGGATGCCTATTAATTGGGAAATGGATGAACAAGTTGTGGTATATGAACATAATGGAATACTGTTGTTCCATTAGAAAAGATGAGCAGGCAAACTTCAGAAAAACCTGGAAAGACTTGTATAGACTGATGCCGAATGAAGTGAGCAGAACCAAGAGAATGTTGTACACAGTAACAGCCACATTATGGGATGACTAACTTTGATAGACTTAGCCCTTTTCAGCAATGCAAGGATCTAAGACATCTCCAAAAGTCTCATGATGGAAAATGCTATCCATATCCAAAGAAAGAACTATGGAGTTTGAATGCAGATGGAAGCATACTATTTGCTTTTTTTTTCCTTGTTTTGTTTTGTTTCCTCTTTCTTGTAGTTCCTTCTATTGGTTCTAATTCTTCCTTACAACATGACTAATTGTGAAAATATGTTAAATAGGAATGTATATGTACAGCCTATATCAGACTGCACACTGTCTTGGGGAGGGAGAAGGAGAAAAATTTAAAACTCAAAAGCTTATGGAAATGATTGTTGATAATCAAAATAAATTAATTTTAAAAATAATTAATTTGCTCTCTCCTTTTTTTTTAATTTCTTCTCTATCCTGGTTTCTCCCATTAGTTCTAATTCTTCTTTATATTTCTTTACAGAGTAATGTGAAAATATGTTTAATATGAATGTATATGTATAGCCTATATTATATCGCGTGCTGTCTTGCAGACGGGGGAAGAGAGAAAGGTGAAAGAAATTTGGAACTCAAAATCTTATAGAAGTGAATGTTGAAAAGTAAAAATAAATAAATTTAGAAAATAAAAATTAAAGAACAAGAAAAAAAACAATACTATTCTCCCACTTTACACTGGCATACAATAGTCTGAGATAAGAGGTAGTTTATAGAAAGAAAAAATTCTGACTTGGTTGTTATTGGTGCCTATTTAACATAGCAGAATAAAAAGAAGTAAATTTAAAGTTCATCCACCTACCTGCTCCAAATCAAGAGAGATCCATTTTTCATTATCCTCTTCTGATATTTTTATGTTATATCTACTTTTGTTGTTCATTATATAAAAAGGAGTAAATGTCACAATTCTTGTAAGGTTAAAACTACTCAAGTCTATGGTCACACCAACCTAAAAAGAGAAAAATTAAATATTTTTTTTTTATTTTTACAAGCTTATACAGTCTCTGAATCATAATCAACAAGTACTTCTTAAGCATTAATAAAACAACTGCATAACCACATAATTAACTTACTTGATACTCCATTGTCATGCCTTTACATTTAATAGCTCCATGACTACCTACAGTATCAATTGAAAACTGGTCTGATAACTCACTCTCAGTCACCATAAGCTGAACCTAAGGAAGAATAAAAATATAAGTACACTGCAGACTTCAGGAGACCAAAAAATTTCTTATACTTCAAGTATCAGTAGAACTTGTGAAAAATATCAAACATTATATCATCAATTCCTCTATTTTCAAATGAACTTTAAATTTTAAAATTCTGAAATAATTTAATATTATTAAATTTTTTTAAATGGGTATTTCTTAAGAATAAAAATCTGTATAACAACAAAAGCAGCAGCAACACTTCATAACTATATAACATGTTATGATTTACAAAGGTTGTCATATACTCACTTGATACTCATAACAGATTTATGAAGTAGGTGCTATTATTATCATTTTGCAAGTAAGGAAGCTATTTGATTCAGAATTCTGAAGGACAGCAAAATAGATAAGTAAAATAAGTCTAAAATTACATACCTTGTTATTATTAAAAAAGTGTTTAGGCTGGAAAGAAAAGAGTACTGGCTTTTTATAATCAGAGGGATGCTTTCGATGAATCCCATCTGCTTTGTACTGTAGCATCCGACCAGTTTTATTCACCATCCAATAAGGGCTGTGAAATGCTACAATCGCCTGGCCAGTGGTATAAGTCAAGTGAATGGCAATAACTAATTCTGTCTTCTCTATCTCAGTGACACAAATGAAACTAACAAAATCAATGTCATGCTGATTAGATCTTATTTGATATTCACTTTTCCAATCTTGGTCAAGATAGTCAATTAATTTTAAATGCAGTCTTGTGTTATCTAACTCTGCAGTGTAAATCTGTGTCGAACAACCCTCTGTGAGAGTGAAAACTCTAAGTTCATTTCCCTGTAATAAAAAAAGAAAAAGTGTTATTTCTGAATAACACGAAAAAGTCTACTTATATCTAAGACTTTCCCCATGTTCAATGATAGTTAACATTATGTTGTACATAAAAATAAATATAAATACAAATAATATTTTTGAAATCAGATACAACTATGAAAAACTAAATTAGAAAATCCATCTTGACAAATCTATCTTGATCAGAAAATTTATGAGTAAGTGAAGCCTTGTTTATATAAGTGTCTATAGAACACCCTATTATTACAGAGGGAATACAGAGGGACAGGAAGGAAAGGAAAAGTATTTATAGAGGAAATCCTGGCTAGAGTTAGGTGTGGGAGCCAGGTTGGTATGAATGAAGTTGGTGGCAATTAAAATAGGTAGTTGCTTTCTACTACCAATGCTCTTAACGGCTATGCAAATAAAAGGGGGAGGGGTGGAAGAAGAAGAGATATTAAAGATAGAGAAAAGGAAAGGTGAAATTGGGAAGCAGGAAAAGTAGACTTAAGATATATCTGCAGCTAGAGGTTCAAAATAATGGCAAATTTTAAAATTTAAAAATGGTCTAATGCACTTAGTAAAATAACTATAATATAGCATACAAGCCATTCTTCACTTGGAAGACAAGAAAGAAGTAAAATTTTTCTCTATATATTAACTTTATTAAGTAATGCCAAACGGAGATATCACCCTCATATTGCCCTATGCCTAAAGGAATGCAGTTTCTGCTAGCTTTTAAAAACTATTTTAGAAAAAAGCTTTTTATTTAGAATTCAAGTATTAATGTTATAATAAATTTTCCTTTCTTTTGCATTTAAGGTTTTAGAAGATTTCTTATATTTTAATTTTTTAATTTTTTTACTACTGGGGCCAAAATTTTTGTCATTTCTGTCAAATCAAATTTTGCAATTGTTAATTTTTTAATTTTTTGAATAGTAATTTCACTAGTATACGGAGGTTCTAAGAGGAATTTTCATTACCAGTATGGAGTAGTATCTTCTTTGCAATATACAGCCTCAGAGAGATGCCTATCTGAAACCTTGAGAAGTTGAGAGACCTACCTGGGATCCCATAACCAATATATGTTTTGGTCTTCCTGACTTGGAGGCCAGATCTCTGACCAATATCCTAAATGTTAATGTATTCAACAGTAATTTGCTTTATAGCCAATATTTTAAAAACACTTCTGTTTGACTAGGCCTGGCATATCAGTATTTCTTTATTTTAAACCACTCTGTATTGCTTTCCCATTGTCCTAGTATTCCTTTCTAATATCGCAATTTAAATCTGAATAGTATAATTAACTTTATCTTTCCTATCTTTGTCAAGCTTCAATTTAAACTGGAAATAAAGAATATTTTTAAATACTTTTTTAAAAAAGTACCTCTAGATAATAAGCAATTTTGTAAGGAAGAAAATTGTGGAGAAGAACAGGAGGCCACAGATGAATTATGTATGGTAAATCCCATCCATCATCTGAATATGCTGACATTGATGTCAATTTGTCTTTTTCAGGTACAATATTAATGATAAATGCTTTCTTAGCACAGTGTAAAGCTTGACATCTCTTTTCTAGAAGGAGTCCCTCATGTTTTATAATTTCTTCAAAGTTGATTGCATCACATCGTTCATATTCTTCACCATCTGGTTTCAAAAAAAGGGCTGATCTATAGGAAAAAAAAACCCAACTTGTAATGACTTTGAAAAGTTTCTTTAGAAGCAAGCTAATAGCTTTAGAATAACACAGCTAATTATTATATTGTGCTTTTTAAAACTTTTTATATAGTTATCCCATTTATTAGGATATAGATTATATTTAATCAGATTTCAATATATTAAAACACAACAATCAGAAAGGCTGCTCAAAAAATTTACATGATTAATTACATAGTACCTAAACACATTATAGACACTATAATAATTCTGCATGAAGGATCACATGGTTTAATCATGTTTGGATAAATAAAGCAAAACAGCTCTTTTGTGACACAGCATACTTTCACTTTAAAATGGTGATTTTCCTAGATACAAGGTTCATATTGCAACCCAATTTTTCATCATAAAAAAGTTTCTGCTGAAGAACTTCATCAACAGCTACTTAAAAGTTTATAGAGACATACTATTTAGGTCAAAAATCTCACTGAAAGCAAAGAATGTAAGGAAGTCATCTAGGCCCACATAAAAAAAAAGTACTTCAACGTAAAAAGTTACAAGCTTTTCAGTAGTACAAGTCCTTAAGCAGTGGATGCTATGCATGAAAAAATCAAAGCATCAGGAACAACAATTATCAGATTTATAAATTATGACTTTCACTTCTACTATGAGGGATAATTATATTTAAGGAAAACTTTATGTCTTTCTTACAAATATCAGCACATGAAAGTGTTAGGGAAAAGTAATTCCTGGTGGGAAAAGCAAAATATGTGTTCACTAATCATTAATGGTTTTAATCAGGTCAGAGCATCTTATTTAACAAAAGGAGTCTTAATATTTCTGTAAAGTAAACACATGAATGTGAATGAGGATTTTGTAACAATTCCATTTAATTATTAAATTTATTTTTAAAATTTATTTGTTATAATTAATTTGGATCTCCCTAAAGAAAATATCTCCTGTGAACTTTTCATCCTATACTCTCATATATTCTGGGGAATACTTTTTATGCTTACAACATTTCTTCCCTTCTCACCTAGAGACATTCTTTGTCCTAAAGAATAAAAATGAAGGGGAGGGAAAGAAGCAGCACAGTAAATCTAACCAACATATCAACCAAGTTTATCAGTACACAAAATGTTCCATATCACTAGTCTCCCACCTTTGTGCAATTTTCTTATATACCTTAGATATCATACCCTTATCAAAACAGTTGATATAAAGACTCCACCCCCCCAATCAATAGCTTCCCTTATAATGGCATTAATTTTATTCATATAGAAGCCTTTTAATTTTATGTAATTGTAATTATCTATTTTATCTTTTTTAATGGCTTCTACTTTTTGATTAACTCTCTCCCAACCATATCTGGTTGTGTAACACACACACACAAATAAATAAATAAATAAAAATATATATATATATATATATACACACACACACATATATATATGTATATCTCCATGTGTATGTATGTGTGTAACATATACACACAGTATGTGTGTGTGTGTGTGTGTGTGTGTGTGTGTGTATGGTACATATACATACATCTCTTCATACTACATGAGGCCAAACATGTATTTTGAACTTTTGCTGTTTACGGTGTGAGATGTTGGTCTAAATCTAATTTCTGCCAAAACTGCTCCTAATTTTACCAGCAGTGTATATCAAGTTAGAGTTCTTTCCCACGTAATTTCAGTAAGAAACACTAGATTACTGAATTCAATTTTTTTCTGATTTGGTCAGCATTTCAAGGACATATTTTTCAATTTTTTAAATAAGTACGTTATAGTTCTCTGATTACTTTTTTTTTTACAATAATTTGAGGTCTCCAAGTGTTATTCTTCCTTCAATTCCAATTTTTTTTTCCTTTTAATTCTCTTGAGATTCATAACTTTCTCTTCTACCAGATTAAATTTGTCGTTATTTTGTTTAGTTCTATAAAATGTCTCTTTGGTAGTTCCATTAATACATAGTAAAACTGTAAATTAATTTAGGTAGTAGAATTATTTTTATTATATTAATGCAGCCCAATTATGAACAAGTACCTCCAGAAATCAGTGATCATTCTTAATTTCCTTAGCATTTTATAATTATATTTACATGTTTTGTGTGTGACTTAGAATACTGACTGCTATTTATTTTGTGAATTTTGTAGTTATTCTGAATGAGACTTCCCTAATAATATTAAGTGCACCACCATCCTCCAAGTTACAAAAGCTCATAAACAAAAGTCAAGACACATCAACTCCTGTAATTTAGGGAAATGTTAGGTCAATCTAATACCTTTCCCATAAAATAGGACGCTCAAGAATGCCAATCTTGAAGACATTATTTCTTGTTATGGCATGCTTATTTAGAGTTTAAGTTCTATCTGGGGGAATATTTAAATTTCTATGGTAAATACACTGTACTAATAATAACAGTAAGCACTCAATATTCAAAGATGAACATAATTTAAAATCTGATATATACTGCAATTAAATGACTCTTAGCAGTTAAAAATTAAGGATTAAATGGCCTTATGAGTATGTATCTCTTTTTACATGATGGACATATTACTAAAATATTACTTATGAATTAAATTTCCATAAATCAAAATTATGTTACATTAGAGGAATTTTTAAGGAATCTTTGTATAAATCCTTTCAGGAGTAGAAGTACTACATCACTATACATAAAAACTTAGATATTTATATTTGTCTTTTTGTTTAACTTGAGACAGGGTGTGTGTGTGTGTGTGTGTGTGTGTGTGTGTGTGTGTGTGTTTTTACACTGATACAAATAGGCCTACTCTAGTTTTGTAATTTCTTTGTGGTCACACACATGTAATACTAAAAGGGACTTTAAAAAACTAAACAGTTCACAAATTTCTTTTACTCACCGATAAGATGTCAATGGTACGTTGAACTCATTTTCTGGTAAAGCAGTTCCCAACAATGTGTCACCTTCATAAATATTCAATGGAATTAAGAAATGATTTCGCATCTACAAAATCAAAATAATTAAAAACAAATATTAATAAGTCACTTTGAAAATAATAGTCACAAAAACATTATTCATTATTTTCACACAAAAGGACAGAAACAGCAAAAAGTAAGCTGATTTCTCTCCAAGTTGCTGGAGGAGGTTGGACCTTTGCTAGTTACAGGCATTGATAAAATTGTAAAAATACAGGAAATACTTCCATAATTAGGCAAAAAATTAATATAGGAAATTTTTGCCTGATTAGTGGTAAAATTAGTGACCATCTAAATCTTAATAAATCCAAAAGTTCTTAAAGCAAGTAAAATCTTCAAAAAATATTTCTCACTGTTAATGTTCTACCACAAAAGTGTCAAACCCCACTGCCTTGCAGCCTACAAAACTCTCCAGGGCAGGCTGAACCAAATTAAATGTAATTAAAATGCTTAACAGATTAAAGAAAAATACAATAGGGAATAATGTTAATTTGTGGTTTTCTAAGTCAACACGCAGCCCACAAGGATCTGTTTCTATTTGATGTCACTGTTCCACTCTCATATATTACATCCTACTTTGTTAATTGTGGCTTGACATATATGGCATTTTAGGGAGAATATAAATATTGCCTCTACTAGAAAGCTGAGGTAAAAACCACCAAAACAGCAGAACCATAACAGTAGGTTACTTGGGAGAATATATATTTTGGCAAGAAATCAATATGCAATTTGACAAGGAGGAAATACTGGGGGGAAGAACAGGCAGAAAAGGGAGAGAAGAAAGAATAATTCCTTGGGGCTGTACTTTAATTTAAAAAGTGTGCTTTGGAGACTAACTACACCTGCTATATAAACTCAATTATCTAATATACACATATACTAACAAATGGTAGGTGCACGTCAAATTCAAAATGAGATATTTGCAAGTAATTTTTATTTTGCTTAAGTACTACATGATTGAGTCAGTAAAATAACTTTGTTAATCATATACCAAACATTCTAATATAAAAATTAAATTTTATACCCTATGCACATACAATTGACAACCTAAAACATGTTCAGAGGAAATCGTTAATTTGGGAATAAAAAGCTACTGTCAATAGTCCAAAAAGAAGATAACATATATGTGAATAACTGGGAATAGACTTGACTTGTAAAGTATTCTAATTTAAAGCAGACTTTACTTGTCAAGTATTCTAATTTAGCAAATTTATAGCAACTAAGAGGCATAGTCTGCATTGAATTATCCTACCATGAATATAAATTATAAATATATTATCTAGAAATTTATGAAACAAGCTATTCCATACAGTAGAATGAAAACTTCCAAAAGCAGTAAAGTGACCTTTAAAAAAACTTTTTCTAAAAGTGAGTACCAGGATATAATACATTATGTTCATAAAATACAGTTCTGAAAAACATTTTACAAGGAATTCATATGTGAATATAAATATAGCATTTTTATAAAAGTCAAATCACAAAATACCTGCACTGGAGATCGGACTGTAACCTTCTTACTTCCTTCAACTGTATCAATTTGACAAACAATAGATCTTTCAACACCAGATTCTCTGTGTCTAACAGTGTACAGACCTCGACCCACTTTTGTTAAAGGAATCTTATCAGCAGTAGAATGATTTTCAGGTGCTAAATTAAAAGAAAAATATACTTCACAAACGAGAGACACAGAGAATGGTTTCACTAATAAATTTCAGTGGGATTATTTATCTCAATTTTTATTATGTCAATAATTAAGATATAAGTATACTCATCATTGAAATTATAGATTAACCATTAAAATATGGAAACAAAAGGACAATATTATCTTTGAGAAGATATATATTTCAATTAATAAATATTGTAAGGAGCATCCCAGAGCACTGGAATTGCAACTAATGTAATTAACAAGATGCTCTATGCCCTGCTACCCTCATCAATTGAGAATGGCTTTTTTTACTGAGCTAAAGAACCAGTCAAAAGTATAAATTAGTTACAGAACCAATCAAAAGTATAAACAAGGTATAAACAAGACTTTAATTTAGAAGTAATAAGTGTGTCAAAGCCATTAGATAAATCAGATGATGCTACACAACAAATATCACTAGACACCTTGATCTATGTATATCAGAAAAGAGATTCAAGTAGAAATCAGTTTAGCTTTGGAAGCACCTTGATGAACTTATAACAAAGGGCAGTAAGGCAAGGTGAGCGAATGTATTAGAAGGGAATCCTGACCATCTACTGACCATATCATAGAAAAGAAAAGCTTAACAAACAATAAACTCTTTTACTCCCCCTACTCCAACTCAGTAATTCAGCTCAACTGCCCTTCTTCTCTCTGTTCCTCACATAAAATACTCTATCTCCAATCTCAGTGACTTTGTATTGGCTACTCTTCATATCGATGTACTCCTTCCTCAACTCTGCCTTACAGAATCTCTCTCTTTCTGAAAGATTCACCTTAAGAATCACCTTCTATGTGATGCTTTCTTTGATTTCCTCAGCTGCTGGTACCTCTCTTCCCAAAATATTTAATATTTGTCTTCCTTCTCTTTATATGTATACATGTTTTATATGTCTTATTGTCTCCTCTATTGAAATGAAATTGCCTAGTGAGTAATGAAATGTTTCATTTACTAAACTTGCACTTCCTCCGCCTAGCACAATGCTTAGTACACAGTGAGCTCTTAAATGATCATCTATTGACAGATTAAGTTGAGGTGCAATATGGTATAATGTATGGAAAGCAGTCTGAGGATCAATAAAATACGGTTTCAAATCTCACCTCTGGAACATATTGGCTATGTGATCCTGAGCAAGTCACTTATATTCTTCAGGGCTCTAGGAAATTCTCTTAAGAATATAAGTTGCAGAGAAGGTGCCAATCTGAATTGATAAAGGGAATTTCCTCATTCAACAGTTTCCTATCTATGATAGTTCCCAGCTCAACAGACAAAACTGATAAAGCCATAACTACAATCTTATGAAGTTTTCACATTACAAAAAAGTGGGCTAGATAACATACTGGATGACAGTCAGAATCCAAACAAAAAAATCTCAACATAAGAGAATATTGGGTCAGATATAATAAGATGAAGTTTAAAAGCCCTACCACTGTGGGAATTTGTTTCACTTGATGATACAGGTTTGTAACAGGAGTTGTTTTTCTTGTTTCCTCAATTGTGTGGGGGTGGGGAGGGGGAGAGAGAGAGAGAAGGCAGCTTTTCATTTTAAAAAATTTAACTTAAGAAAGTTTAATAGCTGGTAGTGAATGATGAAATTAATGGTCTAACAAAAATCATAAAACTTTACACTTACATTCAAGAATAAACTTCACAAGTCAAAGATGGTGAAGGTATGATTCTAAAGTCATTCATGTGAAAAGTTTGGCATTTTAGTGAACAGCAAATCATATGGGTCAACTGTGAGATACTGCAGCAAACAAAAGGCTAATGTTATTATGTGCTTTTATACTAAGAGTGGGATATGTTTCACTGAATATAACTTGTCCTGGCTAAAACACATCTAGAATGTTGTAGTATCTTATGAGTATCACATTATTAGAACAACATCCAGGATGACCACAGAGTCAAGAAGATGCCATATGAAATGGGGGATGGTTATTCTGGAGAAGAGAAGACTTAGGAGAATATGATACTTGTTTTTAGGTATTTTAAGGTCTGCTACATGGGAGAGGAATGTCACACTTGATGTCAAAAGGCTTAGAAGCAATGGACAGAAGTTGAAGAGGTGGATGCAGATATAAGAGAAATGTGTACGTGAGGGAAAACTTCCTAAAAACTATAGCAACTGAAAAATGGAATGGGCCTCCTCAGTATGTAATGAGTCTATCCTCCCTAGTGATCTTTTAAAAATCATTATTAATTTGTTTTAAATTTAAATACTAAAACTCAAGTAAACAATAAGAAAAGAAAAAGAAACATATTATAAACTTAAATACAAAATAAGAAAAGGAAAAAATGGGACAGCTAGATAGCGTAGTAGATAGAGCACTGGCCCTGGATTCAGGAAGACCTGAGTTCAAATCTGGCCTCAGAAACTTGGCACTTACAAGCGGCGTGACCCTGGGCAAGTCACTTAACCCCATTGCCTCGCCAAAAAAAAAAAAAGCATTGCCATGGACACAACAGAACATAAGAGAGGATTCAAAAGGTACAGCAATAAATCTGCATTTCAAGAAGCTTATAATGCTAAATTGTATTCCAAGCTGTACATCTTTTGTTTGCTTCCTTTTGCTTTTCTTTTATTCTCTGCTGCGTACTTTTTACTTTGTTCTGTTTTCCTCCCTTCTTCCCCCACCCTAAGAAGGCAAAAATTAAGTGTGGAGATATATATAGATACGCACATATACATATATATACATTGACACACAAACATATATATATACATACACATATTTAGATATCTATAAAGATACTCATATATAGACATATACATTTATATACATCTATTTAAGACCATACTATACTTGTCATCTGTTTCTCTGAGGGTGGATAACATCTTCCTCCATAGATACAAATCTTTTCATATTTTTCTAAGTCCACCAACTCATGGTTTCCTATATCACAGCGATATTCCAAACTTACACTGTCTACCTAGTGATACTGAAGAAAAAACTGGATGGCCATTTTCTGTGGGTTTTATACATGGAATTTCTGTTAAGGTACTGTTTGGATTCCATGGGTTATGCTGCGCTTTTGAACTCTGAAATTTTGGGAATAGCATCTTGAAATAAAAGGTTAATACATTATAGCCAAACTCTATCGTAGAGTCCTGAAACCATTCTGTAATGTCATTCAGTTCCAATATATCACACTATTCTTATCAAACTAACTGCCCAACATGATGTGTTCCTGGAAAAAATTAACATTAAGTAAATTGTATGTGAATACAAGTTAAAACATATATGCTATATATCATTACAGTAAATCTATTTAAAGAAAAATACTTTTTTAAATATGAAACTTACTGAGTAGAATGAAAAAAAGTTTGCTGCTTAGGCTGGTCATTGCACTAAACTGATCACCGTCATTACTTCTGACATAATCCATACTTAAACTCTGTTCATTTTTTAATTCAAATGTTTTTGTCACAGGAACATTAAGAACACGAAAGGAATCACTCACTGACACAGAGATGGTAATTCCAAGAGAATTGAAAATCATAAATGGTGCTTGATCCTTTGTAAAGAAATCTGAAGTTTGAACAGCAGCTTCTGCAAATGCCTGATAAGCAAAACACATTTTAAACCAAATGTATAAGAAGAGAACGTAGAAGTACTATAAGTGATAAGGAAAGATTTGTTATTCTTGCTGTTGTTCAGTAGTTTCAGTCAGTCTAACTCATGGACCCCATTTGCGGTTTTCTTGGCAAAGATACCAGAGTGATTTGCCATTTCCTTCCCCAGCTCATTTTACAGATGAAGAAATTAAGGCAAATGAGGTTAAATGACTTGCCCAGGATCACAAAGCTAGTAAGTATGTGAGGATGGATTTAAATTCAGAAAAATGAATTTCTGACATCAGGCCTGACACTCCATCCATTGCACCACCTAGCTGCCCCAATAAGGAAAATAGATAACCACAACACAAATCTTATCAAATCAAAAAATCTACTTCTCAGAGAAGATTAGGAACAAGTCAGTTAAAAGGAGGACCCTATTATTTAAAATGAAATTAATTTCTTACCTTTCCTAAATTATTCAACATTACAAGGCCACATTTAGATAATGTAATGTTCAATTGGTCTTTTGAATAGAAACTGATTATTGTTTTGTACTCTGGCACTCTGTAGTTTTCTTCCTCAGTGTCCGATTCAACCAAAGCCTTCTTTGCTTTCTTTTTAATCTAAAATGTTACAAACAAATTTGTTTTAGATAAAGATAAGATTAGAAACCAAAATAATTACTTTCCATTAAAAGCACATCTAATTTTTAATATTAAAAGTTATAATCCTAATTATGCCATTGTGTATTACTTAATTAGGGACACCAATGAGACCTCACTCTTACAAAAGAAAAATACAAAAGCAAAAACTTGAGCTTCCCTTAAGCATTAAATGAAAATGAATACAAGAGAACAGCTGCAAACAAGACTATTAAGAGTCTCCTCCAGCTGTGGCTTAAAACGTTTAAATTTAAAATTAAATTTAAAACTCCCTCCAGCCCCCATGTCAGGGAGAGTCAGCAGGCTAACTTACTTTTATTGGTCTAAGGAGCTGCCCTAGTTTTAGGGGAAGGTGAATCCCTGGAACCCTTCCATTATTTCCCTTCCCCCCTCATTGCTCTCTTACATGTCTCAAGTTTGCATGGTCTTCCCTTAAATGTAACAAATAAGAGGACCTGTTGTTTTCAGCTCTGACTGGTTCTTCTAATCCTTCCAGGAATCCTCTTTAATTCCAACAACATATTCTGACAGGGGAAATGAAGGATAAACTCTGCTCCTGCTCTACAAAGCTATGAGAGCTGTCCAAGCTAAGAAGAAAAAGAAAAGGAACACCTCCAAAACACTTCTCATAAATGAAAAAATGCCAGGTTACAAAACTCACATATCTATAAACCAGTTAATTTTATCATTTGAACTGAAATCAGTAGAGTAATTATAAGTGCCTAAAAAAAGAGAGGGAAAATCTTGACCTATTAAAGTCTGCTTTACAGTATAATATTTACTATTGATGAGGTCTAGATTCTTCCGGTTCTGGGACCTCAAAATCACGACATAGCGGCCCCTGTCTGAATGAATTCAACCCAAATCTTCTTTCAGCCAAAAACAAAGTTTTATTAGGGATGGGCCATACAGACCAGACTCTTAAGGAATCTGAACATCAGTGAAACCTGTAGAGACAAGCGCACATGACGAAATATCAGCATTTAAATGGGGGCCAGGGTGGATCTTATATAAGAAGAGGTCTAGGACTTTTGGGGTGCTGGAACCCCAAGATCACGGTGCTGGGCCCTGCCTGAAAGAATTCAACTCAACTCTTCTTCAGCCAGAGGAAAAGTTTATTAGTGACAAAATACATAGGCCAGGTAACACTCGTGAGGACGAGAGGGCATGAGAAAGGCTCAGCCTTGTGGGCCTGAGATTCTCAGCCAGGTGATGCCCATAAAGACAAGCTGGCGTGAGATTCTCAGCCCCGAACTGGGGCCAGGGTAGATCTTATATACTTTGGGTGACCAGGGAAGGGTCTGGGAAAAGGGTTTGGGTGAGAATTCCCATTGGAATGTCTAAGAGATTGAATAGACAATGGAGATAGATAATGAAGGAACTGAGAGGCATCTGAATGAAATCAAACCGGTGGAGCTAGGCTTTTCAAAGGCAAATAAGGGGCTGGGACCTGTAGACAAATGGGAGCCAGATTCCCTTTGGTTCAAGGGAATCTAAAAGTTAGAATGCAGCAGTTGGAAGCTCGTGGCTTTATGAGAAATCAAGACACTGTAAAACAAATCCAAAAGAATGAAAAAATACAAAACAATGTGAAATATCTCATTGGAAAAACAACTGACCTGGAAAACAGATCCAAGAGAGAGAATTTAAAAGTTATTGGACTATCTGAAAGCCATGATCAAAAAAAGAGCCTAGACATCATCTTTCAAGAAATTATCAAGGAAAACTGCCCTGATATTTTGGAACCAGAGGGCAAAATAAAAATGGAAAGAATCCACCCATCTCCCCCTGAAAGAGATCCCCAAAGGAAAACTCCTAGGAATATCGTAGCCAAATTCCTGAGTTCCCAGGTCAAGAATAAAATATTGCAAGCAGCCAGAAAGAAACAATTCAAGTATTGTGGAAACACAATCAGGATAACACAAGATTTAGCAGCCTCTACATTAAGGGACCACAGGGCATGGAATATAATATTCCAGAGGGCAAAGAAGATAGGATTACAACCAAGAATCACCTACCCAGCAAAACTGAGTATAATCCTTCAGGGGAAAAAAATGGTCATTCAGTGAGATAGGGGACGTTCAAGCATTCTTAATGAAAAGACCAGAGCTGAACAGAAAATTTGACTTTCAAATACAATACTCAAGTGGAACATGAAGAAGTAAACAGGAAAGAGAAATCATAAAAGACTTATTAAGGTTGAACTATTTACATTCCTGCATGGAAAGATGATATTTGTAACTCATGAGACCTTTGTTAGTATTAGGGTAGTTGGAGGGAAAAAATTATATGTATACAGACATATAGATAGATAGACAGACAGACAGACAGACAGACATGGGGTAAAGGGTGAGTTGAAGATGAAGGGGTCATATCTGGATAACAAAATTAAGTGGTGAGAGAGCATTATACTGGGAGAAGGAGAAAGTGAGAGGTAGAACAGGGTAAATTATCTCACAAAAAAACAGAAAAGAAAAGGCTCTTTACAGTGGAGGGGAAAGTGAGAGGGAATGACTGAATCTTATTCTCATCAGATTTGGCTTAAGGGTGGAATAACATACACACTCAATTGCGTATGGAAAATAGGGAAGGAAGGGGACAAGAGAGCAGGGTGATGATAGAGGGGAGGGCAGATTCGGAGAGGGGGTAATCAGAAGCAAATACTTCTGAGGAGGGACAGGATCGAAAGAAAGAATAGAATAAATGGGGGGGCAGAATAGGATTAAGGGAAATAGAGTTAGTTTTTCACAACATGACTACTATGGAAGTGTTTTGCATAACTGCACATGTATAACTTGTATTGAGTTGCTTGCCTTTTCATTGAGGGTGGGTGGGGAGGAAGGGAGAAAATCTGGAACCCAAAGTTTCAAAAACATATGTTTAAAAAATATATATATTTTCCACATGCAACTGGGAAATAAGAAATACAGGAAATGGGGTACAGAAATCTATCTTGCCCTACAGGAAAACAGAAGGGGAAGGGGATAAGAGAAGAGGGGGGAGAGACAGAAGGTAGGGCAGACTAGAGTAAGGGGTATTCAGAATGCATGCCATCTCGGGGTAGGGGGAGGGAGGGGCAAGATGGGGTGAAAATTTGGAACTCAAAATCTTGAGGATGAATGTTAAAAACTAAAAATAAATAAATTAAAAAGGAAAAAAAGTCACTTAACTCTGAGCCTCAGTTTCCTCATTATTAAAATGAGTGTAGTGGTAAAACTGCTGACTACACAGGGTTTTTAGAAGATGAAATAAGATAATGAAAGTGAAATTGTGTTGATAATTGCGATGTACTAAATACAAGAAGGTGGTGTATCATTTCTGCTACTGCCGTAGCTTTAATATGAGTTGTCAGTATATAGCTTACTTCAGATTTTTGACATAGCCATGATTTCCATCAGCATGGACAGTCCATCAACTGGTACAGATTATATCTTAGTAAAGCGTCAAGTGAACACAAAGAGCCTACTATGTGTTAGGCACTGTACTGAGTTCTCTTCATACAAAAATTGGGGGAGAGGGTACTTCCTGCTCTCCAAAGCACACAGTCTAATAGGGGAGACAAGTTGGTGGAGAACAACTCTGTACAAAGATATATACAAGATAAACTGGAGATGATCAATGTAGGGAATACACTAGTATTAAGAAAAACCAAGTATGCTTCTTACAGAAAGAAGGATTTCAGCTGAAAACTGAAGGAGGCCAGGACACAGAAATGAGGAGAACAAGAATTCCAGATATAAGAGGCAACCGATAAAAATGCACAAAGTCAGAAGATGGAGTGTCTACTATGAGAAAGTACAAGAAGACCAGTGTCACTGGATCAAAGAGTTCATAGAGGAGAGTAGGGATTGACAATAATGGAAAAGTTGGAAGGGGCCAGGTTAGGAAGGTCTTTAAAAGCTAAAAAGAAGAGTTTATATTTGATCCTGAAGGTAAGAGAAAATCGTTGGAGTTGACTGAATGGGGTGACAGAGTCAAACTTTTGCTTTAGGAAAATCATTTTGGAAATCGAGTGGAAGATCACCTGGAGTGAGGAAAAATGTCAGGCAGGCAGACCAACCAACAAACTATTGTAATAGCCCAGGAGTTAGGTGAGGAGGGACTGCAGCAGGGTGGTAGCACAGTCAGAGGAAAGAAAGTATATCTATGAGAGATGTTATGAAGGAACTTACTAAGAAATTAGACATGGGGTATGAGAGAAGGAAATAGAGTGTGGAGTCAAAGATGGTACCTAGGTTGTGAGCCTAGGTGACTGAGAGGATGTTGATGCTCTCGACAGCAATAGGGAATTTGGAAGAGGGGGGGTTTGGGGAGAAATATAATTAGTTCAATTTTGGACACGTTAGATTTCTAGGGGATATCCAGTTTAAGATGTCTTAAAAGTTGGAGATGTGAGTTGAGAGGTCAGCAAAGAGGTTAGGGCTGGATAAGAAGAATTAATAATCATTAGTACAGAGAAGATAATTGAAACCATGAGAGCTAATGAGATCATCAAGTGCAATAATATAAAGGGAGAAGAGAAGAGGGCCCAGGACAAAGCTTTGATGGACACTGACAATTAGTGAACAGGGCCTGGAAGAAGATCCAAAAACGGAGACTGATGAGTAGTCATACAGGAAGGAAGAGAACTGGCAGAGAATAGTGTCATAAAAACCTAAATAGAAGAGACTGTTGTGAGACCTGCTTAAGCCCCTTACCAACTGAAGAAAGCCCGAAAACCTGGACTGGCCATTCAGAGAGGATGATTTGAGCCCTTCTAGACTGAAATACCAACAACCCTTTGTGATACTCTCTCAGTGAACCTGAAATCCTCTTGCTCTGTTAGCAACCACAAGACTGGATTAAGTTTGCACAGACATTCTGAGTCAGGGGCACTTTCTTGCTTACTGGAAAATGTAATCTTGGCTGACAAAATGACAGACATCCTGAGTCAGGGGAAGGAGATTAGTAAAAAGGAAAAG